TTTGGAAAACGCTGCATTAGACCTTCCTCTACCTGCATCATTTGTCAGAATGGAAAAATATTAAAATTTTATAAGAGTGGGGGATTCTGTTCATAATATAAATACGGTATCAAATCGATCCCTGACGTTTTTTAAAGAGTTATTTATACTTTGTTTTTAATTACAAATGTCAAATTTGTAACTGTGCTTATGTCATTGCCAACTGTGTACTACTAATGACATTTTACACAAATCAGAATTTTCCACATTTAAGTAAATTTATTTTTTAATTTTTTTAATTTTTTAAATTGTACTTTTAAGACATTCTTTGGCTTTTTTCAGAAGCACCTGTACAAATATAGAGGGATAATAATTTTATATCAAATGAATCCTACCATTAAGGATTAAGATTCATCCTCCTCTAATTCTTCTGAATTATTTTTTAAACATATTTAATTTATGTATTTGCCTGGTTGGCTTTATTACAGAGGCACTTAAAGAGGTAATAATTATTTATTTTAAATATCTTTGAACATATCTTTTTTTGTTCTTAATTTTAAAAGAATTAAAATGTTCATAAATAATTTATTTTTGTAAGACAATTGCTTGATTTAAATATTTTCTTAAAATAAATCACATATCCATTTTTTTCTTTATTTAAGATAACAATTGTGAAATGACAGTGCAGCCAGGTTTGGATACTTCAGCTGTCAGCACCCACTCACATCCGATCACCAGGATCATCGTCCTCTCTTCCTATTCTTTTCTACACAGAGGAGTGTTGGTGCTGGATGTGACTGGGCAAGTCGGTCCCTCCTGACAGCACATCACAGATTCTCTTCATGTTAACGGTTGGACTCGAAAGTTTTGGTCCAAAGAATGGTCATATATCAGGAAGCCTGATTTGCAGCAAGTTTCCCAGGTCTCAAAAATAATGTTGGCCTGTATCAGGGATGTCTTCAACTGATTCTTGAAGCATTGTTTTGAATCTCCATGTAGTCTCTTGCTACTGGAGAGCTCTCCAAACAGAATGCTACCTGGAAGTTGAGTGGGACGTATTCTAGACATGGGAACCACCCAGCGGCGGTGATGTTGAAGGATGGTAGCCTCGATGCTGGAGAAAGACGACTTCACTGTTGCTGATGCAGTCCTCCCAACTGATGTGAAGGATTCTTTGAAGTTTTGTTTGCTAAAACCATTCCAGACATTTGATGTCACAACGATTAATCAGTGCTAGGGAGGGAAACTGGTCCTCTCATTAAAAATAAGAATCTTTTTCTATTTCCAAGTGGACTATTATCTTCATCTTTGTTATTGCTATCAAAACACTTTGGCTGTTGTACCCTCTGGCCTTCATCAGGAATACATCAATCTTGATAAACAAAAATAAATTTTACCCATAACAACATACACCTGATGAAGGCCTGAGGGTACAATGGCCAAAATGTTGTGATGAAGACAATAGTCCACATGTAAATAGTCTAAATAATGATAACTCTCTTCATCCTAGAAATTCTGACAGAAAAAAATGATTGATTAATTTTTGTTGATTAGTATATATTAAACCTTCTGCCCACATTTGCCATAAACAAAAGATGTTGGTGTTTTTCATTTTAGAAAATGGTGGTCCTGTTTATAATATAAATACAGTGTCAAATTGATCCCTGACTTTTTAAGAATGAACCTTACTTTGTTTTTAATTACAAATGTCAAGTTTTAAACTGTGTACTACTGATGACGGCCTTTTACCAAATTCAGGTTTAGGGAGTTTCCTCCTCTTCCTCCACCTCCAGTTCTTAATAAATATTTTCTGGCAAAACAGATTTCTTTTTTTTTTAACATTTTGTTTTTAAACAAACATTTATTTTAAATAAAGAACAAACAGCTATATATACTGCATTTGTTTTTTTTACAAGACTAAAATCACCATTGAAAGGAAGATTTCAGACCATGAATAAAGATACGATTATCCACCACCCAACCATGCTCACATCGACTATTTGGTCTTAGTAAACATTCAAAAAGTATCAATGAATGTCAATGGGTGCAATTTTTCCACGTGAAGGAATTTAGAAATATTCATCTTCTTAATACACACTTTCATGCCAGACACCATTTTGCCAGACTGCTGTTCAAACAAAGAAAATAATTATGGGTTACTGCCACCAACATCTGACATAGTGGACTAACAATAAAAAAGAGGACATTATTTCTGGAGTAACCTTTGGTGATATGTACAATCTGATTGACTGATTTATTTGTTTTTATAAGTTATCGACCCTTTAAGTGTTACTTAAGCTGAAACCTATTTGGGATTGTAAGAATAATTCTTTTTTTTTTCAAGTGAATATTGCATTCACAAATTTTAGAGATAACAATAAGTTTTTTCACATGTTTAGAAACAACATTCAAATGAGATAAACTCATAATATTTGAAAGACATTCATATATCAAATTTAGAATATTATTCTTCTTTTTCTTCTTCACCAGCAACAACAATAGTTGTAACTATAGTAACTTTTATCATTCCAAGTCACAGCATTTTTGACCAGATGGTTGGATTATTTTTGCAGCAGTGAATATTACACACTGAGACAGTCAAAGCTTTCTTGCTCAGCCGTGATCTCTTCCTTTCTGACTTCGCAAAATTTTGCTTCTTATATGTGACTCAAACCAGATCCCTAACCAATCAAACTGTATCCATTTTCAATTCAAATATGGCTGGTTTTTGACAACATCGAAGCCAAGCACATCCTGAAAAATTTTGCCATAGAAAATTTAAACTGTCTGACGTTAAGCAGCAGGTTTCTGTAACATCAATTTGAAGCCACATTTTTTTCAAAATCTTTACATATAAATTTTTATTCATGTTTTTTTATTGTTTTATAAAGCATTAGACTTCATTTTGATAGTTCTTTGAAAAAGAAACTGTGTTAGTAACACTCTAATTTTCTTAATTTTTTTTTTTTATACAATTCAATATTGTCTTTTTTTATTGTAATAATTTTTATATTAATTGTTAAATATACCAACACATTCTTTGTTTTCAATACAATTTTAATATTATTTTTCTATCAAAATAGTTTTTATACTCATTTTTATACAATTCCAACCTTTTAATTATTTTTCTCTTACAGTTTTAATATTTTTGCTTCTATTAAAAACATCTTTTATACAACCTAGCTGACCTCATTCAATTTTCTATCAATTTTTTTTTATCACTGTTGTTTTTGAATATTACATATTGTAATAGCAGTATTGTTAAGAAAGGTGATTTGCTGAATGATCCTGGGTAATAGATTTACCATGTAAAACTTAAAAAACAGTGCACTTTCTATATATTTTCACTTTAATAAATTACTTTCTCTTTTAACTAAAATTACATTCTTTAAGTTGAAATTTATGGTCAAACTCATTAGGATGAAATTGGTATTGTAGAATCAGATTCCTACAGTTTTTTAAATCTTAAATTTTGTGCAAGTTAAACACATAGAGGCTCCCAACCAAATATAACAACTGATGCATTTTGATTGGTTGTAAAATATTAATTAGGTGTTGTCAACTACGTCCGAAGGTACCAACCCAAATTTTGACCTCTAGTTGACGCCATAAAATGTAAACATGTTCACGAGCCTCCCCACGTGACCAAGAGAACTAATAAAAACGAAACTTCGACGCGACTTAGTCAGTGGGCACTTAAAATATTGAACCAATTCACTTGACTTCATTGGAAATCAACACAGCAAAGGAGATGAACTAAATCTTCAACACAACAACAAACCTTGTCAACCATTTCCAGGCTTAACACTCACTCCCACAAAATATTCTATTCCACAACAAGAATCTTCGGTTAAAGAGCGATAACTCTATAACAATCAGTGAGTCAAGAACAATACTTTTTTCTATTTAATACAAAAAAAAAACAACTGTTTAATTTTCCTATAACAACAAATATAGCTAACTATACCACCTCATTTTCACACGTACAGTACAGTAACTCAAATTCTATTGTGTTTATCAACTTTGCACTATATATTATGTATTTGTTGTGTTTATAAAAAATATTTATTGTTGAACAAATTCATAATTTCTTCTACTTGATTATTTCTCTTGTTGTCTTTGTTACATTTGATATTGTAAAAATTGTAGAGGGTCAGTTTTTATTTCTATTTATAACCAATACAAATTGGCTGACCCACTATAGTATTATTAATCAATTGATATTGATAAAATATTCAGGATATATTTATACAAGCAATATATCAGGTTAAACTTATAATATAAATCTTTATTTAAAAAATATTAATAGTAATGTGAATTTTTTTTGCTAATGCAAGTTGAGTATCACTTATCTGAAATTCCAAAATCTGAAACTGAAAAATTTCAGAAAGCTCTGGGAAGGTTCCTAGGTGATGTGCAGCTGTTGTAAGTGACCTCATCTGACCTGGATGGGGGCTCCCCAGCCCAGTTATGTAGTTTATGTTGGCACTAGTGTTTTGTTAGTAATCATAACAGCATGATTTTTGTACATGTACAGAAAGTACAAAACATTATTTTTATATGAAATCTTAATTTCACCATTTAAAAATCCGTGTGAACATCACATCATTACCTGTATCTGTATGTACACAATATTTATTAAATTTTATATAAAACTACTTTCCAGCGTAAGCTGTATTATGAAATGTAAAGGGATATCATGTTTATGCGTGTGTTCCATTCCTAAGCCGCTCTATTTTATAGATGCTATATACAAATTTAAATCGACTGTACTCCAAAATCCGAAAAATCTGAAAACCGAAGCACTTCCGGTATCATGAATTTCGGATAAAAGATTCTCAACTTGTCTGACAAAAAAGTTGTTTTTTTTTTTTATCCCAGCCAAGGGAGGTGACTCTCAGCAAGAAATTACGTCCCTTGGCAACTTGTTCGTTGTGTTGGTAACTGTATACAATATGGCCACTGTCTTTGTTATTATTGTGTGTCTCGTTACGAATAACTAAACTCTAGAATTCGGAATTATGCCACCGTTCGAAAGAATGGATCCAATGTTCTACGCAATCAGCAATTTCCGACGAAGGAAGTTTAAGGAATGTGCAGAGCTTTGTACGTCAATCCTCGAGAAAAGTCCCTATGACCAAGTAAAAAAATGTTGTCTTGCCTTTTTTTCTTTCACTAAGCAGGCTTCACGTTGGTCAGTCAGAAATAATTAATTTAATTAAATTAAATAATAGTTAATTTTTATTTAATTTAATCACCTTCACATTTAAATTCAACTGTTGTTTAAAAAAATATAAATAAAACAATATATTAATTTAGTTTAACTTTTTAATAATTGTTATTTGTTTATGTTTGCAACTGCTTAAACCAATGAAAATCAAACCATACAAAAATAAAAAATACCAGAATTTCTGCACATCCCATTCTCTGATGAAGCTTTGATAAACGTGTAACATCTGACTAACGTACTCTACTTATCTTTGTTGTTAAAGTAGGGTTAAAACGATTATTATTACTTCTCAAAATTATATCCCATCATTAAAAATTAAAATGATGAATGTCTATTTATTTTATTGATTAATCAATCAGTAATTAGGCTCACCGCTTCCAAAATGAAATAGTTTACTTTTCAGTTTTTACTTTTTTTTATCGTAGTTTTTTTTAGTCTTGTATTGTATGTGTTTTTGTTTTTTTTTTTTTTTCTTCTTTTTACTATTTTGAATTTATCTGTACGTCCACGTCATACGAAACGTGACACAATGTTGAGTTTAGTGTAGAATTTCGGAAGCTGTTGAAAAATCTCTCAAGCCTCCCTCGATACTTCCCTTATTGGGGCTGCTTCAAACACCTGTTAATGACCCCCAGCCCACTCCCGAAGAGGGAATGCTTCCCGGGAGTTCGATCTAAATATCAATTTAAAAACTCTCCGGCCTATCTTTTCAAGGCTGACAAACAAAAATGAATACTGATCACTAGGTTAGTTGGTAAGACTTAGTTTTTGTAGCGAAAGAAAAATGATTACTTAAATAATGTTTTTCCGTCTTTGGTTACAAAATAGTTAATTAATAAGCATTACTAATTTATTTGTTTTTTTTTTTTTTTTTGGTGGGAGGTTGAGGTTTGCAATTTAGCAGCTACACAAGTTAAATTTTTTCTCTTCTTACAAAATAACTTCATTAAAGGTTTGTTTAGATTTTAATTTTCTCTCTTCACTTTATCTTCTCATATAGATAAGGTAGAAAATTTTTTTAAACGTTTGAAGTTATTTTGTAAATAAAAAAAATATTTCTTATTCAGATTTAAATAAAATTGTAAGCCATATATTGTATTTTTAGTTAAAAAAAAAAAAAAACTAGTTTAAATGAAGTTAAAAAATAGTCTGAGTTGGTTTAAGTTCTGTCAAGCATTCTTTTTTTTTCTCTCCCTCTCCACCTCATTTACCATAATGTTTTTTCAATCAACATTACAAAGTCGAGCTTAGTATGGCAAGATGAAATCAGAAGAAATTAATATAGCAGAGTTTTGACAGGCAAATCGTCTAAGTAGATAGTCAGCCTGCCTTGAAAATCAGCATTTCAAATTTTACTTTGACTTGGGTTCAAACACTGATTTCTGCAGCTAGCAAAAGATACACATGAAACCAACCAAGCAAGTCCAGTAATGATGTAATAAATGATATATATAAGATATATATATATATATATATATATATAACATTGCTGTTCATGCTGTATATGGCTCAAGAACTACTCGAGGTAGAGGGTTACAGAGTAAGAGACACAGTTTATGTGGATATGTGAGTAATATGTTGTCATGTCAGGTTGATACAGATAGTGGGTGAGCTACAGAAGAAAGGTTTATTCTTCCATTTGCATTTCCCCCATTATGGGCATCATTATATCTATGATATAATAACACCATATTTCACAGATGGAACAGAATGACTGAAAAGAAAAGGAATGACATGCTTTGTTCTCAGAGTCATACACAAAATTATACATACACACATACATCTGTCCCACACAAAGAAAATATAATGCATGTCTTCACAACAGTGTGAGAATGAAAATGAATGTAAGATCTTACATATAATATGGAGATTCTTCTGTGTTTCTGTTAAAGCCATAGTTAGGATTCCAGGCTAGATTTATCTGCTATGTCCCTAGAAAGGACATACTCTGCAAATGGGGAAACTGTGAGTCTTGCGATTTTCCCAACATGAGGACTGTGAGCCAGAGATAGTTGCTTTCTACATCTTGGGAAGATATATTTCCAAAGGAAAATAGTGCCATGGTCTTACAAACTGCACCATATGGGGAGCTGGCTTGGGGAGCCAGATTCAGCCTCCATCAGGATCACACATGCTAAAAAACACAACTGCTCATTTTGATTCTCGGAAGATGACTGACTGCAACTTTTGTCACTGTATCAAGTGACATCACTAAGTAACCATCACATGACCCATGTGACTTCATTTCCATCAAAGGGAGATATTTGCTTTTTTATCCCTACAGAGAGAAGTTCTCAATATCAAAGAGTGTGTAAGTATGAAAGTGGGCACTGAGATCAACACCAAGTGGTGTCAGCTCATTTCATGCTTGAATGCAATCTTCAGGCTATATATATATATAAGGCTAGAATATGTAAGGCTTGGGATGACCCATGCCCTTTGTGCCTCCATGAAAAATTACACATTATTAAACTTCTAAATAATAATAATCTATTAAATAATAGACATGAGTTAACGGTTTTTTGTAGGCATCATCAGATTTTTTGGTTTGAATTATTAGATAAAAAATTTATATAACTTGTTTAACAAATAGCCCAATCATCAGATTCATAGTAGGAATAATTAACTACAAACATGCATACAACATAACACCCTTCATAATCCATAGCCTAATTTAGTAGTTTAAATACCTTACATAAAAGATAACCCTTTATGAAGTCGTCAAAAAACAAACGTTACGAAAGTTTTTCTTTTTTTATATGCACAATTCCCTTTCATAATAAAATAAAATAAATAAATCTCCATAGACAAGCAAACTAGACGATGGCTAATACATCTTCCGTTTCATTTTTGCCACCCCCACCTTTCCCCGACTTGACACCTTGAAAGTATCTCTATACCGCTACTTATTATTAACACCCTACACTCGCCTACCCAATTTAGACAATTTACCCTAGCTGTTACCATGGGGATTTTGATTTCAATTTTTAAAACAAGTAAATTTCAGATATTCGTTATTCCAACAAAAATTTCGCTTGAAGATGGAACGGAGCCCATTTTAATTTCAACTCAATTTAATTTAAAGGATTATATTGAAGTTTTCGGCTCTTGTTTTGAAACATGAGACCTCTTATGTAGCAATTTGGAATCATATTTTTAAATAAAAATTATATATATATATATATATATATATATATATATATATATATATATATATATATACTTGCTTCAAAATTATTGTTTTGGACAGTTTTGGTTTCGATCATTTCTATAAATTTTTTGATGTTGTAATTATTTTGATATTGTCCATAACAATAATAATTCTGAAGCAAGATATATATAAAATAAACTGTAACAATTGTTCCTTACAATATACATACATACCTACATATATATATATATATATATATATATATATATATATATTTCTAGACAGTGTTTTTTTTCTTACTGTGACATTATTATTTCTTGAACATTATAAAAAATTAGATTATCTCCCCTTGCTTCTCTCTATGAGATTTTGGAAAAGAAAAAATTGTTACATATAGTAAGATCAAGTGAATAGAGTTGTTTTTCTATTACAGCAATGTTCTTGACCAGGAACTGCCGGATGCTTAGAGCGTTATGAGCAAGTACATTTTCATGGTGAAGCAGAAACTTGTCCTGCCAAAACCTTGCATGGAAAAAAATGCAATAGTTGCAGAAAGCTAAGATTACAGTTATATACTCCCAAGATATCATGTTAAATGATAACACAATCTGCTTTATCCCTCTTTCACCCAGAGCTCACACAACGCAACCAGTTCTGTTACTTTTTAGACACACCTCATATTTTTAATTTAATTTTCAGTTGTTTCATGTGTGGCTTTTTTAATCTGAACCAACTTTGCTGTTTTCTTTTTTGCTTCTAGTGTGCTTGGACATTAAAGACAAGAGCTTTGACAGAACAAGTTTATGTTGATGATTTGGATCTAGAAGAAGAAAGTATTTCCGAGAGTCTGCTTGATGAAAATGCCATTGCCCAAACTGCTCGCCCTGGAACATCCTTGAAAACGCCCTCTGATAATGCACAAGAAACAATGGGAATTAGTCCTGCTGTAAGGTAAGAACCAAATACAAATCATTCAACTCTACTGCCTATCATTTTGAGAAGGATCATTATCATTCCAATGACAACACGGACATTCATTTAGAAGAGGAAGAAATCTCACGTTTCTGTTTTATGGCCAATAAATGGGTTCTTTTGAAATTTTCTAAGCACATCATCCACTTTGACAAAAGGGGAATGGAGAAGTGAAGGAATAGATGGTGCTTTTTGGAGTCCAAGCAACAAAAAACTGGATATTGATTATTTCTGTGTACAAGTCTATATTAACAGTCTTGTTGTAATCCAGGTGTTTACTTCTGGTCTGCCCTTGAGGGAGAACAGACTTTTCGATTGCATGCTTCCAATGCCATCTGTTCATGTTGCCAGGGTCATGTTGTTGGTAAACAGGGATGGTAGGAGGAAATAGCTGAAATCTTAGACAGACATACTAGAAGTTGTCCCTCATGTCAACTACCTACCCACCTGACCAAAAAGCCAAAGCCCTAAATGAAAACATTTTATAATGTTGGAAACGGTTGGCATTCCCTTTTCTTGACGTGTGTTTGTTTTTTATCTCCATTACCTTGTGAACATGCATCAGGCCCTTTCCCAGCTTTTTGTTCACATTGACATGAATGAAAATGGAATGCAACTTGGGGAAATCATTGGCTGCTTTATTGGAAAGGTACGCAAGTGTCACATTCAGGTCCAGATTATTTTAGGCTGCTCTATTGAGCCCCTCAAGCTTTTATAAAGCAATGATTTTAATTTTCTAGATGTTATGACTTCTAAATAGTTTCATAAACTGAAACAATAGCAATTTGAAAAATTCATATTTATTTTGTTTTATTGCTATAATGCTGGTTATAAAAAATATGTGGCAAGCATCAACAAACATGCCTGCAATATGACAGTGTCAGAAAAACAGTTTTTTCCCATGACACTACTTTTTTTAACTATCTTCACTCTTCGGCAATGTTTAAAGGCAATTGGTTTAAAGAGTGATGATTAAAAATGAATAAAACCTAAACTCATGATGAAAGTGAATTTATACATTTTTTTGTTCTTGAGAATTTATAACAAAAATATTGAACCCTATTTATTTATTAGATTGATTATTTACAACATTCTAAAAACTAATACAATTGAAACTAATGTAATACAATATTCATCATTTACCAATTTATAAAGAAATAAATATGAAAACAATTTTTGATTCATAAATTTATAAATTACTAGCAGTAGAGCCCGGCATTGCCCGGGGATGTAACAGTAAGAGATAGATCAAGTATCCACCATCATAAAGACTGAAAAATAAAATTGACAAAGATTATTGTTTAAGGTTGACGGACACACATGTCTTAATTAGTTTTTTTTTTTTTACGAATTGGTCAAACCTAAACTCAAACAAAAACATTGTTTTCAATTGTTATGAGTCTACCGATTGAATAGAATTTTATTATAAACAATTGTCTTGTAAATGGAATTTTTAAAGCATTCTGAATGTAGAAATAAAGAAAAAAGTGTGCAAGACAATAAGAAACACTACCTGCCAAAAAAAAGTGAAGTTTTGTTGAAATTGGTTGAAAAATGTAGGAAATCTGATCCCATATATAAATGAACACACACACACACACACAAACAACTTGGGTTTTATAATAAGTATAACTCGATATGAGTTGTCCCCCTTTCATTTTCGCAATGCCTCTTAATCGTGTTTTCAAATTGATTTCATGCAAAGACAATTGTGTTTTTCCAATTTTTGGCACTGTCAGAACCACTGCAAGGTAATTTTACACAGTCCTGTGAAGTTTTGTTAAAATCGGTTGAAAAATGTAGGAAATCCAATCCAATATATAAACGTACAGACACACACACACAACCTGTGTTTTATAATAAGTATGATGATTTAACTTGTTTATTTAAATAAGGCTCCCTTTTAACAATCCAAAATTCTTCTTTAATATCCAATTTGTGTGTTGAAGCATAAAACAAAAATGTAAGTTTGATTGTTTTTCCATCATCAACTGGGTGGACACTCCAGATAAATTGGCTATTGACAGTCTTGAGTATTTTTAAAAATAGTTTTATAGAATTATAACAAGCATTTGTTGCAAAAACATCTCATTTTTTTTATTGTTTTTTTTTTTCTCTTTTTATGCATTTTGAATTATTATCCATTTCAACTTTTGACAAACATGGATAAATGTTTCCGCAATAAGACATAGTGTCAAAAGGACGTTTTTTTTTTCCCATAACACTGCTTTTTTAACTATCTTCATTCTTCAGCAATGTTTACTGTTTTAAAAAATGATGATTAGAATTGTAATAAAACCAAAAGATATGAAAGTGAATTTATACATTTTCTTTGTTCTTAAGAAAATATACAAACATTCACAAAAATAAATCTAGGGGCAACAAAATTTTTGCGTATTATATCTGCCAATTTTGTGTCAGCAGTTTTAAAAGCCATCCATTCAAGATTTGCAATAATCATACTTGGCATCATATATATCTGTGTATATATTTCTCAGCATTTTAATACTTACTATCCTTGTCTCTCTTCAAAGGCCAGTCACTCAGTCTGGTCGCCCAGTAACTGGTTTCATTCGCCCTGGCACACAATCCAGCCGACCAGGAACCATGGAACAAGCCCTGCAGACTGCTCGTACTGCTCACACAGCCAGACCTGTTAGTTCTGCATCAGGAAGATACGTACGACTAGGCACTGTAAGTTACAAATCAAGTGAAGCCTTTCTTTCTCCTTTTCTCTTTTATTTTCTGCTATTCTTTCCCAGTTGTCTCTACAAACTGAATACTTGTCGTATGAACCAAGAAATGTTAACTTGTAATAAAAGTTTTCTTATATCTGTAAAATTTTTGTATAAGCATTTTCACAAGACAGCTATTTTATAAAGTTCTTTTTATCATTATGCTAAGTTGACTTGAATTTCAAAATTTTGATGAATTTTTCTGCTAAATATAATCTTGGAGATGCAGGTAGACTAGCAGAAAATGGAACCAATAAACTAAATTTAAATTCCAACCAAAACTGCTTGCGTTCACTTCACATTAATGCCTTTTAGAAAGGAATGAATATATCACTTTCTTACCCCCACCAACTATGGGTTAAATAGCAAGGCAAACTGGACTCTCTAGCCTTGGTTGGCAACCATTCTAGTAAAAAAAAGAAAACAACTGTGAATTCAAAACTTTGGAGAAAGCAACGTGAAATAACCCAACTATCATTCCCAAAAACCATTCATGGAAATGCACAGTTTACAGATATTAAAATAAAGGAAGCTGTGGCGGGCTGTGATCCCTTATGTTTTGAAGGGACCTGAACTTAAGATGGCAGTTCAATCTCAGTTCACATATAGATAAGTGCTGTGTATAATTTGTCAGTCTTAGTGTAAGAAAATTAAATTAGTAATTTTGAAAAATATGTGAAAAGAACTTATGAAGAAAGACTTCTATTACAAATCCCACTCAGTAAACAATCAAATTCCCCCCACCATGCATAAACAATCAAATTTACCCATGCATAAATAATGAAATATCTCGCCATGAACAATCAGCCACCCCACATCCCCACATGCAGAATGAAATTCCCATTTATAATGTTGTAATGGAATGTCCCACACTCCCTGTCAACTATGTGAACTGACTATATCAGTAGATATATATAGTAAGCACAGGATATACCTGGCAGATTTGCTTCAGCAATTAGTTAGAGATTTGTCTCCAGCTGTGCTGATCAAACTGTCTGCCTTCAAGCAGAGAGGAACCCAGACGAGGCTATGCCGAAGGGCAGTCTCTCGCCTGGGGTGGTAGACAGCTACCCAACTCCCTGTATATAAGGTCTACAGGGAATTTTTGCCCACGCCTACGCATTAAAAAACGGCCTTTTGCCACATTCACAAGGTCATTAGGTAGGTTATACACTGCTTTCCTCTGTCCGATGTGTGGAAAATTTTAAAAGTCATCTTTCCTCATTATGTGCCCTAGAAATTTCAATTGCCTCTTTCTGATGCTAAGTATAAGTGTCCATTTTCTCTAAAACTTTGTCATTACTCACATTTGGTTCATGGTATTCTCAGTATCCTTCTGTAGAACGACATTTCTGTTACCACAAGTCTCTTCGTCATCTGTGATATTGTCCAGCATTCACTTTCTCACCACTCTCAAACAACTAATTACTATCCCTAAAGGACATTTCTGTTACCACAAGTCTCTTCGTCATCTGTGATATTGTCCAGCATTCACTTTCTCACCACTCTCAAACAACTAATTACTATCCCTAAAGGACATTTCTGTTACCACAAGTCTCTTCGTTATCTGTGATATTGTCCAGCATTCACTTTCTCACCACTCTCAAACAACTAATTACTATCCCTAAAGGACATTTCTGTTACCACAAGTCTCTTCGTCATCTGTGATATTGTCCAGCATTCACTTTCTCACCACTCTCAAACAACTAATTACTATCCCTAAAGGACATTTCTGTTACCACAAGTCTCTTCGTCATCTGTGATATTGTCCAGCATTCACTTTCTCACCACTCTCAAACAACTAATTACTATCCCTAAAGGACATTTCTGTTACCACAAGTCTCTTCGTCATCTGTGATATTGTCCAGCATTCACTTTCTCACCACTCTCAAACAACTAATTACTATCCCTAAAGGACATTTCTGTTACCACAAGTCTCTTCGTCATCTGTGATATTGTCCAGCATTCACTTTCTCACCACTCTCAAACAACTAATTACTATCCCTAAAGGACATTTCTGACAGTCTCTTTTCTGTTATTGTCCAGCATTCCAAACCTAATTCTCTGTTCAATCATCTGTGATATTGTCCAGCATTCACTTTCTCACCACTCTCAAACAACTAATTACTATCCCTAAAGGACATTTCTGTTACCACAAGTCTCTTCGTCATCTGTGATATTGTCCAGCATTCACTTTCTCACCACTCTCAAACAACTAATTACTATCCCTAAAGGACATTTCTGTTACCACAAGTCTCTTCGTCATCTGTGATATTGTCCAGCATTCACTTTCTCACCACTCTCAAACAACTAATTACTATCCCTAAAGGACATTTCTGTTACCACAAGTCTCTTCGTCATCTGTGATATTGTCCAGCATTCACTTTCTCACCACTCTCAAACAATTATCCCCTAAAGGACATTTCTGTTACCACAAGTCTCTTCGTCATCTGTGATATTGTCCAGCATTCACTTTCTCACCACTCTCAAACAACTAATTACTATCCCTAAAGGACATTTCTGTTACCACGAGTCTCTTCGTCATCTGTGATATTGTCCAGCATTCACTTTCTCACCACTCTCAAACAACTAATTACTATCCCTAAAGGACATTTCTGTTACCACAAGTCTCTTGTCATCTGTGATATTGTCCAGCATTCACTTTCTCACCACTCTCAAACAACTAATTACTATCCCTAAAGGACATTTCTGTTACCACAAGTCTCTTCGTCATCTGTGATATTGTCCAGCATTCACTTTCTCACCACTCTCAAACAACTAATTACTATCCCTAAAGGACTGTAGATGCTAGTATATATACACGCTATCAGATACACTCATGTTCACAACACATCTTTCTTTGTTTTTTTATTTCCCACTTTCTTATATTGCCATTATCATTATTATTAGTATTTTTTGTTAAGATTTTTCCAGTTTATTTTTTCCATGCCCTTCATTTTCTGACAATGATTTTTCAAAAGGATTCTTTAACACTTTTTTGTAGTATTTCTTCCCTCTTTTTTTTCTCTTTTATTTTTATTGCGTTGTTACACGCTGATGATTTTTTTCATTTCCCCTTTTCATATTATCATTATCTTTATTCTGAGTATTATTTTTTTATTTTTTCCGTGCCCCCCCCCCCCATTGTCCAACAATCATTTTCCTAAAAGAATTCTTTACCCCTTTTTTGTGCTATTTCTTTCCTCTCTCTCTTTTTCTTTTTTTCTTTTCCATTTTACTTTTAGTGACAATCTCGCTATGTTCTCACACTGATCCTTACTCGCAAAAAATAAAATCTTTCAACACTAATACTGCCTCCACCCCTGGTCCTTTTTTTTTTTTTTTTTTTTTCCAATGTTCAATATCTCACTCCCCTACGCCCCACCACCCATCACAATTTTTAAATCTGAGATTATTTTCACATTAAGATTTGCACAGCGAGAAATCAAACAGGAAACTTTTTTCTTTTTTTTTTTTCTTTTTTTTGTAATAATTCCACCTACAAGCGGATTCTGTCCACCTCAAAAAACTAAAGTTTATTTCTCACATCTTCTGATGAAGAACGCAAGCGTGTTTGAAAATTCCGAACTTGGAACCTCAATCTCCGTGCTTCATTTTTGTCACCTGGTTAATATTAATAAAGGTTTTTCATACTGATTTCATCAGTACCCTTTCATTTGACTTTGTTTTATTGACCAACTTATCTATTCTACTATTTATATATATATATATAAGTATATAATTGGTATATATGGAATGAATTCCAATAACCAACAATTACTATTCTTAAAAGAGTGCTCAATACAAAGTAGAGCAGATATAATTATTTTTTATAAAACCATTTATTTTCTTTTCAACATCATCACTTGATAAGACACACAGTGTGTTGAAACAAAATGGCTATTTTTGTAGTGATTTTATAACATACTTATGTTATAATTTTTTTTATAAAAAATAATTATTTATATATATATATATATATATATATAAATATATACATACAATAGAATAAATAACAAATAGGAAATGTTTATCAAGCTAACATGTTTCACTTTTATTAAAGCTTCATAATGAGATAGATTGTACTAACATTGCTTAATAAGTCAAATGCATGTGAAGCCTGCTTAACAAATGAAAATCAAACAATACAAAATGAAAATATCAGAATTTCTCTTTTTTACCCATATCTCATTCTCTGATGAAGTTTTAATAAAAATTAAATATGTTAGACTGATAAATGTTTCCTATTTGTTCTTTACTCAAACATTCTATCAGATTCTGATCCGTATTTGATCTGCATTTGATCCCATTCATATATATAAAGTATTTCAGTAACTAGAGCATATTTGTTTTTATTTTGACAAAAAAAAGTACTTATATTTTGTTTTCATGAATACAATAATAATAATAATTGATAATAAGAGAAGCCTGGAGAAAAAAAGCAAATAAAGGGTTTCCAATAACTTGGACCAATTTTAAATGTGAATTAAATTTAAGCATCTAATGATTTTTTTTTTCTTTCAGATTTGGCGGACATTTGGGCGATATTATTTTTGACACATAATTGCCATCACTTAAATGATATGATCCAACAGAGAAATAAATAAATTTTCACCAATAACACTCATTTATTTACTGCTGACTTTGATCCTTCTTAATGAAACACCCTTATATATAATCCATCTTAATGAAACGCCCATTACATTGTAGTTACTGAAATTTTATCTTTTACTTTTGTTTATTTAAAGAAATGCAGGATGGTCCTCAATTTTTTGTCTGTAGTGTATCTTATTCTCTCAGTCCAACATCCACAGCAGTAATGATAATATTTTTTTCCAGGCTTCAATGGTATCCAGTCCTGATGGACCTTTTATCAATCTGGCCAGATTAAATCTTTCCAAATATGCAACTAGACCAGACCTGGCCAAATCTCTTTTTGAATACATCTTCTACCATGAGAATGATGTTCGAACGGTTAGTTTACATTTCTTTAACATGCCTTATTATGTTTTGTATTCCTTTCTTTGTGGTCTACCTCAAATATTCCGCATGATTTTGATCTGAATTTCTGAGATGAGCAATTATTATCCACTGATTCATTCAGTTTCATGTTTCGGCTGTTGCAACCTGGCCTTCTTCAGATGTCTGTTGCAGTTGGTAATTGTTGTAACCTAGGGAAGAATAATCACCCAAATGTTGGTAATGAACGATAATACTTAGGACAAGAACAACACATATAAGATTCGCCAGTGGCACATAGAAGAAGTAGTCAACTGCTAGAAATGTGTCAAGTGAATTCTACAATGAATTTCCAACAGCAGACCAACATACAGTATTTACTACTGTATTTATGTGAATGGGGACATACGCATTATCATCCGTAGGTATGCTACAACAGTAACCTTCCAAAAATTTCAAACTAATCCCTTTATTGCTACAGAACAGATAGCTTAATGGATAAAGAGATTTGTTAAGCAAATCATTTTACCTAGTTGTTGTGAGTTCAATCCACAGTTCAGGTGACTTTGAGCCATATCATATTATAACACTAGTTCTCATGTGATCATTGAAGTTAAGCAACATTGAGCCTGGTCAGTACCTAGATGAGTGACTGCTTGGGAATACCAGATGCTGTAAGTTTGGATGTGCAGGTGGTGTAATGAATAACAGGAATTGGAAATCAGAGAGGTGAGTTCCAATTCCAGTCGGGTTTATTGTATCCACTTGGGTGCAAATGCTGTTGGGAAAGTTATGATTCTACATCTTTTTTCCCCTGCTATAGGACTTATTTATTATTTAAAAAAAATTGTTACAATCTAAAATTGTTTTCAGGTCTTAAATAGCCTTCAAAAGGTTGGTAAGCCATAAAACACAAATCAGTCAATCAAATACACTCTGATCCTAAACAGACAACCAGAGAGTGACACTTTGATCCAAAGCAGATTATTTTCAAATACTTTGATACAAGGCAGAAATGCCAATTGATATGTAAATAATTGTATTACTTTTTACAGCTATTATGCTGGTATTGTTATATTATTTCATTATTATTCTTTGACTTCACTATGGTTGGTCGAAACTTCATTCCATACTGTTCATCCTGCATTGCAGTCCCCAGATTCCCAATGTCCAACCCTGAGTCCTGAGCTATGATGTCTGGGAAAGTCATTTTTTGTGAGATGACACTTCCAGAAGGATGCCATAGGAGTAAGGATGAGATGATTTCCCTGTCTTCTTCATTGTAGTTGCCAGCAAACTGTAATCATTTTTGTTTGAGCTTAAGAGAGATTTAAGTTTAAGTTCTCGGTAAATTGTGTTAAGCAGTGCATGGTATCTCCAAATGATGCTCTTGATTTTTACAAGTAGATTTGTATATATTCCATCCAGTCATCTTTCACGACAAACAGATAATGTCCAAGTTTTTGATCCATACAGTAGGATTGGTTCAATCAATGTTCGAAAGGTTTGGACTTTTAAGGAGGATGGAAGGTTCGAACACCAAATCTTGTGATGTTTGTTACACACATCCATTGCAAAAACATTATTTACTACTACTCCTACCACTGCTATAGCAGCAACAATAATAATATTATTATTACTACTAGGAGCTACATTCCTTAGTTCCATCAACCCTTACCCCCACAACTAAGATCCACCTCACCACATACACTAAGATGAACCACTCTTCATATTTCTTTCATATTCCCTTAGTAAGAAGTAAGTTCTACTCAACCAGCTTCTTCCCACAAACCACTACTTTGTTGAAGTGACTCCCAAGAGGATGCTTTCCTGACCATTACAATCTTAACCTGTTCCAGTCTAGGGTTAACTGTTACATATCCTCTTAAACTGTGACTCTTACCTCTAACTGTTACCGCTCACACAACAAACTCCTTCAGTAGACCTTTACCTCAAATGGTTCTGGAGCCTTGTATAGGTTGAACATAATCAAAAAAAATAATTTTCAGACAAATATCTACCTTTAACATCGAGATATAAAGAGTTAAGCAGTAATCCTTTCTGAGGTCATATACATGTTGTTCTTTTATGTGCCATGTCGCTTTAGAACATAGACGATCATGACTCTCTATAACTCCCTAACCTTGCATGGCTCTTAGCAGTTTTCTCCTTTTCCTAAGGCTTCACCCTCTTCACCTCTTCCGTTATTCATTCACATGAGCTCATTGCTTACCCCTAGCTTTCTTGCCCTCAGTATGCCCTGTAAGGGTTAAGTTTTCTAACCCCTCCTTCCTCATTATGTGTCCAAAAATTTGAGCTATCTTTTCCTGATTTTAATATAAATGTTCTTTCTGATGCCATTTTCTTTAAGACCCACTTAATGTTTAGCCACTTCGTACATGGAATTCTCAGTATCCTTCTGTAGAACATTTCTACTGCCCCCAGTTTTCTCCTCATCTCTGTCCAACATTCATTGTTTTATAAGAGGATGGATATCTCATAGCAATCCAGAACTCTTTATCTTTGTTTCTAACAAAGTTTTTTTTTCCATTTCTCAGTGAATTCCTTAGCTTTTCGACTGCTTCATTCACTTCTTCTCTTAGATAATGTTAAAAAGATGGAATTATAAATGTTAATATGCCATAAAGAGCAAAAAAATTGGTAATGTTTAACCCTTGTGCCCACAAAAAAAACTTCCCAAATTATGGTTATTCCCTTGACACCACTATTACTGTATGTACTTTTGACTATCTTAGCAATGTTTATTTTTAAAAGCAAAATAAATATGTTTGTTCAAATTTTTTTAGTTCATTGATATTTTTATAGAATTATGTCTAAAATACTTTTTTTAATTGTTATTTATAAAATGGTAAATAATAAATATTGCATTGTTATTGATTCATATTCTTGATAATTTTTTTTATAAATTTCCTTTCTAATTTATTTCTTTATAAAATAGTAAATAATAAATCTTTATAAAAGGTAAATAATAGATATCGCATTGTAATTGCTTCACAAATTTTTATGATCTTGTAAATAAATATTGCCGAGGGTGTCAAAAGTGTATACAGCAACAGTAATGTCAAAAGAATAACCTTCCTTTTGACACACCTTATTTTTGTAGGCACTAGGTTAAATATTGCCAAAAAATTAACAGCTGATGACAATGTTTGATCCCAGAAATTCAAATAATAATATTACTGTATTTTGAATAATCCTCTTGCTAACACAAGTTGGTTCACCTGTAAATCTGTTTTCTTTGTTTATTTTTACAGTGAGGTTCACCCTGTACAAGGTCAAAAAGTCACTCAAGGTAGAAGGTTACAGAGTAAGAGACACAGTTGATGGGGATATGTGGGGAAGATAATGGTTAACTATGACTTGAACAGGTTAAGATTGCTGTGATCGGGGGAAGCATCCTCTTGGTAGTTGGTTCCACGAAGCAGCAATTTGTGGGAAGAAGCTGCTAAAGTGGAACTCACATCTCACCAATGGAAAACAAAGGGAATGACTCTGGTTTGCTACAATGTGCATGGCATGGCAGGTCTTAGACATGAAGGTTAGAACTGGCAGAACTAAGGAATTTAGTTCGTCTGAACACATGTTGCTGGATTTTATGTTGTTCGGATAAAAATAAGTCACTATTATGTTGCGGATTTAACCTGTTTGGTTGTGATGTGTATAGACATTCTATATTAAATATTTATGGGCTCTTGGAACATTTAACCTACAAACAATATTGGCAGACTCATGTGAGTCCATGTAAAAATAAGTTCACAGACTAATGAGTTTAAAACAAACAGCAATGCAAGTTACTAACTTAAGGAATTACATGTGTGCATAATTGAAATGAAAGGAAAAGACCTTGAAACTAGCTGTGTGTGTGTGTGAAATAAGCGCGTGTGAAAGAGTTCAACAGAGGACCAAGGAAGTGAATGTACCTCGTAAGCAGTGTCCTTATTCTATGTTTGACTACATCTGGAAACAACAGTTAAAAAGAGGAAGTGAGAGAGTATATGATTCTGTTTTTAAAGACTTCAAGAGCGCCCCCTAATGGGCATTTTGGCAAAGACTAACGGGATAATATACACACTTTCCATGGAAATAAATAAATTGAAAATATTTTCTTTGGTATATTTTATCCTTATTTTCTTCTTTTCTTTTGTTTCACTTCTAGGCTTCTACATTGGCCAGTCTGGCTGTTAAATCTACTAAGGAACCCGACTGGTGGTGGCAATTTCATTCAGCTAAATGCTTCTATAGGTGAGTAGGTGTGACAATTTCTTTGTACAAATAAGGTTAAATACAAAGTCTGTCTTTGAATGTTGTCAAGATATATAGCAGAAACACCAAACCAGATATAGCAGTAATATTCAATGGATGGACAAATAAAGGTGCAAGATAGATTCTGGTAAGTAAAATTGTCTGGCACGACAGAGTAAACCAATTTTCTTAGTGGCATACTTAGCAATTGATTCCATATAATTGTCCCAGTTCATGTCAGTCGAGAATGTTAGGCTCTGACCAATCTTCCAAATTTTTTTTTCTCTCTCTCTCTCTCTGATGTTTACTTAAAAATAGTAGTTTGCTTATTTTCATATCTTTAGCCCTTGTTACTAATATTCTGAATATTTTCCCTGATTTCATTCTTAACATTAGATACCTTTTAATGTTCAACATAGTCTTTCTGGAAAGTAACGGGACTGGTATCACAAATAATTTATTTGAATTCCAAACAACAAACTACATGGTTAATCCTACCCTCACCCTTGAGTCTAATACACTTTTCCATCCACCTCTGCCACGCTTCTATGCACTGCTGGAAGAATTCTTCTTGGATGCCCGTAAGTTCCATTGTTACGGACCTCTTGATGGCCTCCACGCCTTCAAAATGGGTCCCTTTGATGATCTCCTTGTGCTTGGAGAAAAGAAGAAAGTCACACAGAGCAAGATCAGGTGAATAGGGAGGTTGTTTCAGTACAGTGAATTTCTTCTCTGCTAGGAACAGCTGGATGCTCAGGGTATTGTGAGCAGGTGTGTTGTTATGGAGAAGCAGCTATAATTTCTCCTGCCACAGCACTTATCTCTTCTTGTGCACTGAGCAGAGCAAACACTAAGATTACAGTTATATACTCCCAAGATATCATGTTAGATGATAACACAATCTGCTTATCCCTCTTTTCCCCAGGGCTCACACAGCACACCCAGTCCTGTTACTTTTAAGACAAACCTTGTGTATATATATATATATATATATATATATATATATATGGCAAATTAGACCCCATTATGCAGTCGCATTTTAAGGAAGAACAAATTGTATTTAAAAAAAATGAAATGTCTTTTAGGAATTATGATGTCTGTAATTAGATTCAGTTTATTCTCTAACTCTTTGACAAGTGGATACTAATTGTGGCATCTGTTGGAAAGAAGCAGCAAGGTGAAAAATATGTCACCTACACAAGGCCAGGTAATAACAAGAGGATACTATTTCTGCAAAACTCTGAGATGGGAAGATAAGTTTGAACATTTTATTTGTTTACTGTAAATGCTCCATGTCTTAATATTGAGCTCTTTACTTACAAAGACGGCTTTGCCTTAAAAGCGTTCTCCTTCAGAAATATACTGGTTAACCTTTTTTTTTTACTTTTTTTTTTTCAAAATCCAGTCGTCATCATTATTATTATTATTATTATTATTATTATTATTATTCTTTTTATCTATCTATTCAGAATGCTCCTGTACCGAGAAGCAGAGGTGTTACTGAAATCAGCCCTAGAACAACAAGAAACTGTCGCTCTTTACCATTACATCAATAAAGTTTACATCAAGATGGATCAACCTTTGCAAGCAATTGCTATGTACAAAAAAGGACTGAACCGATTTGCTGGAGAAGTCACTTTATTGATTGGCATTGCCAGAATATATGAGGTGTGTTTCCTCCATTTTGAAATATGACTGCAGTATTTATAAAAATTTTTATATAAATATATATTTATATATATATTCATTCTTTTATAATTTTGTATTTGAACAAGTTAGAATTGTTTGGAATTTGTCTTAAAATTTATGCCCAAAGAGCATTCAGGCAGCCACCAATTTACCAATGTCTAATATTCCAATATTTAACAGATTAATAATTGTGATCAGTCAATCAATGGCAAGTAAATAAAAATTCAGTAATACACTTTCTGTAGTCACTGTTCATGTTGGAAGTTTTTAACTATTCAACCTTCTCTGGAATCAGTAAACCATGACTAATGCTGAAATCTAACTTGGTAGAAATACAGTTAAATGTAAGCAAGATAAAATTTTTTAAAATGGATAACAGTAGTGTGTTCAACTGATAACAATACAATGTTTTTTGTCCATTAATAACAACAGTTTTAAGAATTCATTTATAAGTCTGATCTAAAAATAGATGCCAACTTATTACTGGTTACAAATATTAGTAGTTATTCAATACAGGCATACCTCAGAGGGATTTCAGGTTCAATTCCAGACCACTGCAATAAAGCCAGTGATATGAATATTCTGCTTTCCCATTGTATCAAAAAGTTACATCTGCATTATAGTGAAATAGTGTGCAACAGAATTGTAATTGGTTACCAATTTGTAGTGGGAGAAGTTGTAACCTGTTGCTGATTAGGATGAAAACTTTCAGAATAAATGAATTCAACATTTTCAAAAGAAATTAATTCAACAATCTCCAAGAAACAAATTCCTCACATGTATATTTAATATATGTTTTTTATAAAGAATAACATAGCTCACAAAAGAGAAAATTATATTTCCTTGTAATTTATATTTACTTGTATAGCTCAAAAAAGGAAAGAAAACATTTATGTACTTAGCTATAGTGTCTGTGATGTGAACATGGTTTGTTTGAAATTAAGTAGTTGGTTTGCCATGGGAAAGAAATCTCCCTCAGCATCATCGAGCAGAAAGAGAACAAGAATATTTATGTGCCTTCCATATATAAACTTGAATAGAACATCTACTAGTGGGCATCCCTACAAAACTATACTGTAATCTATTTGCAATTTATTTTATCTAAGACACACAGTAGAGTGATGGTTGCTGAAAGTTGTCATGTCTGGATATTACTGAAAATAAAAGAGCAATTAAGTTTAATACATCGCATCAATTGATTCTTCTTTTCACCAAAGATTTCTCCGTGGCAAGTAATGTTGTTTGCACTGTTTTATCCACAGAAGAAATTCCAATTTCAATAAGATAACAATGGAAGATTTTGAAATATTGCAAGAATTACCAAAATGAGACAGTAAGCATTTGCAATTTTTTTTTTTTTTTTTTTTAAATCAAATTCACCACAAGCAAGTCACTAAAGCCACTGTGACACAAGGAGTTACTGGGTGTGGAAGAATTAGAAAACAGAAACATTACTAAGGATAGAAGAGTAATCAGGAAGACAGTAGATAGCAATTGACATTGCATTTAAATTTGACTGGAAAGCATGGAACTGGAAGAGAGTTTTACAAGCGAGAAGTGTGAGAAAAGAAACTGTTAGCATATAACTTACAGTTACATTTAATCAACTTAACTGTGAATTGGTGAAATAATTGGCAGAATGATAACAATCTTGACACAGAATTGCGACAAGCCTTCATTTAAAAACAGAAAAACCTTCAATAAAATGAGATATGCCTGTAGATGGATAAACGATCACATCAATATAGTCATTAATCAAAATATTTATTAAGAATAATTTTTGACATTTTTTTTTTCCTTTTTTCTTTCCCCAAGAGCTTAAATGACCTTAATGAGTCAGTGTCTTTTTACCGCCAAGTTCTACGATTTGACAGCATGCAGGTTGAAGCAATTGCTTGCATTGCCACACATCACTTCTACAATGACCAACCAGAAATAGCCCTCAAATATTTCAGGTTTGTTTTTAAAAAATTTACTATTATTTTATTGTTTTCTTAAAATTTATTCATCTACTGTTAATTTTAGTTGTTTATGATTTATATTTATTTTCAATTTACTGTTAAATTATTTATTACTCATATTATTTAGTACATTATTAACTTACTAGTTTTAACTGGTGAAAGCTTCACAGTTTTCCTATTTTAATATTCTGATGAATCTTAATTATTAAGTTAATAACTGACTAAGCTCATGACAAGTTCTACAAATATAAAATATCCACAGAAATTTCTTCCCTATCGCATTGTTAAATATCTGAGCTTAACAACTTTAACTACAATAACAATCATAAATATGAATGCTGGTTGTTATTTTAAGAAGTAAGGGGGTACAAATGAAAAGATTTTAAACTGACAACTTTTTTTCATTCTACCGAATCAGCTGTTAAACACTTCTATCTTCCCTTCTTTCTTTCTCTCACTAAAACCAAATAGCATCTTTTCCTCTTTTTCCATGGGATCAAAATGAAACAGTCTGTTATTTATGAGGTATTGGCAGGGTGTAATGGTCATGCAAACTAACAAAGGGAGTGACAAGCACAATTATAATAGAATTATTATTTAGTAATATTTTACTTCAGTAAAATTTGTTACAAACTCTGTTTACTTTTGTAAAATTTATTCTTACATTTATTTTCTTTTAGTCATTTTCTCTTTGCCACTTTGATGTTTTAAAATTGTTTTTTTTTTTTGTCTTAGATTGTATTTCTAAGAATTGAAGAATTAGATCTTATCCCTGTAGCTGCACTGATACTAATTCTAAAAACAAAACAAATATTAAGAACCACGAAACCAACCATACAAACTAACCCTCTCTTCATATTTTATGATAAATTCCTAGTTTAATATGTAACATGTTTAAAAAGACAGTCTTTGTTTAATATTTTGCTAACAAATTTGAATTTTTCAAATTTGATCAGAATACCATAAATTTTAACTTACATTATGCTTTATGGTCACTTCAGGCCTGCTACTGGTAACATGTAACCCAGTACAATTTGCTGCATGGACAAGTGGTTGGGACCTAAAGCAGCTCCCTCACTAGCTTTTCTGCTATGTGGAGAGTGGCAAGTCACCTCACAGGACAAAAAAACAAAAAGAGTAGATGAGCTTTTTATAGGAGCCAACTGTCAGCATGTTATATACACTCAGGGGGTTACAAAGACAAAATTATTTTAACAGTGATCATTGTGATAGTGATTTTTAAAAAAACACACATGAATTCACTCTGTTATAATTACTTTAAAATTTATCCATTGTAGCTATGGAATGTTTTGCAAAACAAGCGTCCCAGTGTAAGGGAGCTAACCAGAAAATTGGTAGAAAGGAGAAATGGCATTAAATGTTCATTAAATGCACATCTAAACGTTACAGTCATAATAAATTTTGTTCAGTGTTGCTTGGTTGCTTTTGATATAGAGGGCCTTGAGAATTTGAGGTTTTTGTTTATCAGTTTCAGATGATCTTGGAGGAAATCAAAAGTACTTGGGTAGAAAAAAAACACTGGCACCTTCCTTGATGAATTTCATTTTAACATCAAGAAACGGATTAGAGAACTAGAAAGAATTATAAAAATTAATAGACATAATATGTCTATATTATTCAATAAAACATGTTTGAATTTATATATATATATATAGTTTTGAGGTGTGCTATATTTATGGGATGATGTGCTCAATATCAGGGATAGAGTGTATGTAAATATAAAAGTGAACATTGAAGTCAGCACTCAGAGCCTCTGAGTGTTGACTTCAATGTTCACTTTATATATATATATATATATATATATATATATATATATATATATATATATATACTTATTTGAAATGAGACAAAGTGTTAAAGACTTTTATTCACAACACGTTTCATCTTCATAAGGTAAAACGGAAGACCAATATATGTTTCTTTTTTTGTTGTTGTTAAAACCATTAATGTGTGTTTGCTAGTTTTGCATTTCTGGTGTATATATATATATATATATATATATCCCCCACAGGCGGCTTTTACAGATGGGTGTATATAAGAGTGAGCTGTTCTGCAACATGGGTCTTTGTTGTTTTTATGCCCAGCAGTACGACATGGTAATGGTTTGTTTCAGCAAAGCCCTTGCACTTACCGATGACAGCATGCTACTGGCAGACATTTGGTACAATGTGGGACATGTTGCTATGGTATGTATTGATTTATCTGAATAAGTCAAGTTTGATACAAGGTCATATTTAAAGAGTACAAAATATGCATAGACTAATTTTAATCTCTTGCCAGGCTACATCAAGTTTACTTATGTGTGTGAGCATGTGTTTAATTTTCAGAGCATTTCAAGTCACAGTTATTGGTGTAGTGTTTTATATCAAAGATAATGTAGTTAAAAGATAAATATGAGTTATTTACATTTCAACTGATATATCCTTGTGGGGTAAACATTCTCAGCTGACATGAAGTGGAAAGATTATATTGAATCCATTGCTTGGTCTGCTGCTAAGAAAGTTGGTTCATTGTGTTGAGCTAGACAATATTTCTTTCCTGAATCTATCTTAGATATTTATAAGTCTACCATTCACCCATATTACTGACACATATGGTCCAATGCTCCTTCTATATATCTAGAGATTCTTGTTAAAATCCAAAGATGAATCCGCAATATTGTTGGTCCTGACCTGGTGTCTTGGCTTCAATCATTTTCTCACTGCCATAATCCAGCCTTCCTGTGCCTTTTCTATAAAAACTTTCATGGTAATTCTTCGGATTAATTCTTTGCTATGGTACCTAGCCTTTATGAATTTAAGTGCAGTACTAGATTGGTGGCAAGGTCTCATAAATTCACAGATGAATTGGTTAGATGTAACCATAAGTTCTATGCTAACAGTTTCTTTACTTGCACTTCTTGCTTGTGGAACACTATTCCGGTTCCATGCTTTCCAGCCAACTTTGTTCTTCAAAAATGTAAATGCAATGTCAATCACTATCTACTGTCTTCTTAATTACTCTTCTATTGTTCTTGCTCCTTAATAATGTTTTGCTTTTTTCTTCTTCTTTCACACTTAGTAACCCTGTGTCTTCTTAGTGGCTCTGCTGCCTTGCCTTAAAAAAAAAAATAATTTTTGAAAATCTGTACTCACGGATTTTGCGAATGGACCATTGTGACAAGAAAAATTTGTTTATATATAGAGAAGTAAAACTTACTAACAGTTTCTTTTCTCGCACTTCTCACATGTGACACACCCTCCTAAATTCTTGCTTCCTGCCACCTACAGTATTCAAAATTTAAATGTAATGTCAATGACCATCTTCTGTCTTCCTGAATCTTGATCCTTTATTGTCTAAAGTCTAGTCATTCTCTTTTACTCCCTGTAACTCAGTGGCATTATAGCCTTGCCTGGGGTGAAATTATAAAAAAATGTAATTATTTTATTTCATTATTTAATTATTCTTGTTTCAGCTTAACTTTATTTTTTAATCTCATTTCTTTGTTGTTTGCTCGCCAGGGAATTGGAGATTTGAATTTGGCCCACCAGTGTTTCCGTATGACCCTTACCTACAACAATGACCATGCTGAGGCTTATAACAACTTTGGTGTAATTGAATTCAAGAAAGGGCATCTTGCTATGGTGAGACCGAAAGACAAACATTGAATTGAATTTGGGTTAATCATAGGCATTTATACACATAACAAAATTATATACACTTTTCAAAATGTTTCAACTTGGCTACATTGACACTTGGTATCTAATGGTAATGGTAATATTAATCGTTTCCTTACAAGGAAACATTTGACTTTCATTGATCAAGCAGCCAATGCTACTGTTGATTGAAATTTATAAAATAGGTTTCTCAAGTCCACTGTTTATCACTCTTTATAAATATTGAAGGGATGGGGGGGGGGCTTCCTTCCTAAAAATGGCTTATGGTCATATCATGTTGAAATACCAGTTCTTGTACATGTTATGAAACAACAAGCCAGGTCAGTAACCACTTGAGAATACCAGGTACTGTAATTTTGGAGGTGCAGGTGATATAAGGGATAATGACTCTGAATTGTAAATTGGAGAGCCAATTTCCAAGTCCTTTTCAAGTTTATTATATTCATTTACACGTAAAATCAGAAATCACAGCCTTTAATTTATTTTTATTCCCTCTTTTATTTTTGTTTATCAAAGTAAACCAGCATTCTGTGTCAGTATTGTAAAAAATACGAGATATTTTTTTTTGTAACATGTTGAAATTCTCACAGTATTTAATATTGTTGATGTTATCGTTAGCATTTTTTTTTTTTTTTTTTTTTTTTGAAATTTACAAACTATGTTTCTTTCAAAATTCACAAACCAATTGATGAAACTTGAATAAGCTGATTTGTTTGGAAAAATACTTTGATGAAAACCTTACTTCACAGTTTACTAATTTCTTTAATTTAATTTTTTAGGACTTCATAGTAAACAATATTTTTTAAGATAATTGTTTTCGTTTCCTTTTTAACAGTGAAGAATAAATTCTGAGGATTTCTTACTCTTGAGCATGCAACATACAACTGGCCATGTGTAAATATTTCTTTCTTGAGCCAAATTCCAACTTTTTGAAGCGTTTGGCCTTGTGATTTGTTTATAGTTTCTGCAAACACAGGCCAAACTGGAAACTGGATTTTTGTATATATAAAAACTTAAAAGATATGCAAAAAGTATATTACATTTTTATTAAATAAGTATTTGTTATTTTAATCATTAAATTGTTTTGAAAATAGTGGGGGTATTTTGTATGTTAAATAATAAAACATATACTTTTTCCCAAAAAAATTATTGAAAATTTATTGTACTGATCTATGCACCATTGTAAAATCAACTGTACTTTGTACCCCCTTACCTGTTTGCTCTTCACTCCAAAATTTGGTTTCGAGGAGTCAATGTATGGCTATTTTAGAGGGTGTGACAGATGGAAGTCACAGAATTTTATATTGAGATTCAATGCTTGTTCTCCAAATTTCTCTCAAATTTTCTCCTAAAATTGATTTTTGGCATACATATTTAGTTATCATTTCTTCAAGTATTTTCCAACTTGTCATTTTATTTCTATGGTAGTTCTTATATATATATATATATAAACATTACTCTGATAGCAGGGCCTAGAATATATTGACTGCATCCCCAACCACCAAAGATGTTGCCTAACTGGATACTTGCAGACTCAGATATAGACAACCAATGTTTACTTCTAGACTACCATCCTGGGTATGATGATAAACTACATCTGACAGCAAGGCCTCTGATTTTGAGGAGCATGGAACCACCTCTTAATTGCTATTGCTCCCATGTCCACTCTGACCTGAGGTGGTAGCATCTGTTCCCAGCTATGGGCAAATAGTTAACCTTCAAACTGGGATCAAAATACCATGAATGTGTAAACATTTTTATAGTAAAAATATAAGCAATACATTTTCATAGCAAAAAAAGTTACCAGCAATACATTTTTGTAAAATAAATTACTAATTCTCTGAAAACAATTAAATTTTGGCATTAAATGACTCATAGGGAGATGATTTGCTACTAAACAAACAGAGAGACTTCTACACTAAAATATATACTCAACCAATGTCTGCCTTCAGACTCAAGTAAAAACCTGACCAATGTCTGCCTATAGACTCAAGTATAAATCCAACCTATAGACTCGAGTATAAATATGACGAATGTCTAAACTCACGTATAAAGAAACAGATTTCAATATTAAATAATCCAACCCTATATACAAACATCTATCCACTTACAAACTTGCTCTCATACACTCAAATTTATGTATGTGCATATGTATAAATATATCTTTGCACACATATGCTGAGAACCAATGTTTTTTTTTCTTTTCGTTCCAGGCTCGGGCTTTCTACCAATCATCTTTTGCACTGGCCCCTCATATGTTTGAACCTCATTTTAATTTTGCTTCTCTGAATGAAAAGGTGAATCAATTTTTCTTTTTTTTTCTAAATCTAATTTTGGTGGAGCTGATGTTATATTGGTATTAACTGAATTCCTCTTCTCTATATCATGTTGAAACAGTGGTTCTTGTACAATCACCAAAGTTAAGCAATGTCGAGCCTGGTCAGTACCAAGACGGGTGACCATTTTGGAACACCAGGTGCTGTAAGCTTAGATCTGTGGGTGGTGTAATGGATAATGGCATGAAATGAGAAATTGGATAGGCAAATTCCAATTCTTCTTGGGGTCGTTATATTCACTTAGGATAAAAATAGGATGCTTGATAAACATCATCATCTAGGTTTTACTTTATTACCAAGAGTCTCAAGTCGATATCCTGTAAAAAAACATGACCAATATTGACTATGCAGATGACCTAGCTGCCACTATCATTACCAATGCGACAGTTCCTCTACATCATCTAGAAGATGCTGCTAATGACTCTCTATCAATGCCTCTAAAAATGAATTCATAGACTTCAACCAGCAAGGCTCAATACAGTTGTCGTGGGTGAATCAATAAAATCAGTCAAATCTTTTGCATACCTAAGAAGAAAAATAAATTCTACTGGAAAGGATGTGAAAATTTGCATAGCTAAAGCCTGGGTTGCCTTGAATAAAATTGATGCAATCTGGAAATCTGAACTAGCAGACAGCCTCAGACAGAACTTTCATACCAATATAGAATTGCTTTTAACATATGGTGCCACTGCTTAGACATTAACTAAAACCCCTGAGTCTCAGCTTGATGGAACCTATACACAGATGCTGAGAGCCATACTTAACATTTCTTGGATACAACGTCCAACTAAATCACAGATCTATGGATCTATGTCTGATATTTCTACAATCTTACATGAATACAGAATGTGCTTTGCAAGACATATAGCCACAGAGCAAGATGAGCTGGTCGCCCAGGAACCACATACATTGACCAGCTATGTTATGACACAGAATGCCTCCCTAATGAGCTTCTGACCTTGATGCAGGACCATGAGGGTTAGCATGATAGACTCATCAATGTCCAAATAAGTTTAACTGAATGCACAAATACTATTGGGAAAGGCATGAATCCACCTCTTTCCCATCCAGCTATGGTTTAAATAGTAGGACTTGTGTCACTGCCATAAAAAGCAAATCAATCAATCATAAAACTTGAAATCATGGAAAATAAATGTAAAAATGAACAATTTTATAAAACTTTTAATTGTAACCCTCAAGATTTATTCACCATTGAGATTTATTTGATTCACCCTCAGAATTTATTAGATTCACCCTCAGGGGGAGAATTTTTTTGTGTTACCAAGGGATTTTGCTGGAATTGTATTCAATTTTAAAGTTTGTTAAATTTTTCATGTTATTGGAAAGAGCCATTACTGACAATCAAGAGTTTTTATACTATATGTAGATTGGCAATTTAAACATAAATTATTCAATGATTTTTTTTTTTTTTTTTCCAGTTGGGAGATTTACAAGGAAGCTACAATGCTGTACGCAAAGCTCTGGATGCCTTTCCAGAACACACAGACTCCAAAGAACTTATTCAACAATTAAGGCAACATTTCTCACTTTTGTGAAAAGTTTCCTTATGGACCTGAAAAACACCCAAAAAGAACCTTAAATTATTCATTGCATTGGCAGAAATAAATATTATTTTACAAATGATTTTCCTTTGTCCTTGTCTGCTGACTTAAAATTCTGAAATTATGTATTATCCACACCATTTACATTGTCTTCATTTTTGTTGCAATAATCATCACATTTCGGCCATTGTACACTCTGGCCTTCTTCAGGTGACTGGAATTTCAAACCAAATTCTTTACTTCCTCAAGGACACATGGCACAGTGGATAAAAGCATTGACTTGAACCAAAGAGTTGTGAATTCAATACCTGGATACTTTTTCATGGAAAAATTTTAAAATTTCTTGGTTACTAATTTATGACTATATTGACCTTTTTTTTTTCTTTTTTTTTTATTATTTAACTAACAATCTGTGTTTTTCATAATCGTTTTTAGTACTGAGGCATGGATGGATGGATGGTTGTCATCTAAACCAGCTCCTCCACTAGCTTTCTGCTGGTGAAAAGACCGGCATCAAAAAGCAGATGAGTTTCTTGTAGAATCGAGCACCAAGTATGTTTCATATATATTATTTTTTAAGACATTTTTATGTTTATACATTCTTTTTATACATACAAATATTTAAGTAAAAAAAAAAAAATAATTGTCAGACTTTGTCCATTTCATAATGTATGATGTCATTTGTTTACATTTGAATACGCATTGAGCAAATATGAATGAATGAGAGAAAATCATGGAGAATTGTGTTTAAAAACGGTAAAATCAACATTGCTAACCGAATGCACTTCTGTGACCCAATCGGTAACGGCACATCATATATGACGGTTCTTTATAGGATACAGGTTCAATTGCTGTCGGAGGACGCATATTTTCTATGAAAATTTCTCGGACATTCAGGCTGGTAAATGTTGTTAATACTGTTTATTATAAACAGAGCATTTACTTAAATATTTGTATCTATAAAAAAGAATGTATAAACATAAAAAATGTCTTAAAAAATAATTCTTGGACTTTGTCCATTTCATAATGTATGACATCATATATATATATATATATATATATATATATATATATATATATATATATATATATATATATAATAAGAAAAAGAACAAGTAGGAAACAGAACTTAATCTAACATGTTTCACTTCATTAAAGCTTCATTATAGATCAAGATAGAAAAATAATCAGTCAATTATGTGCCATGCATGATACACACTTCGGCAATCATGTTGAAAGATACATGACTGACGAGGCTGATTTTTTCCTGCAGTAGTTGTCATTTCTTTCTGCGTTAGACCAGTTGCCATCCAATGCTATAGAAGACAGTCTGTCCTACTATTTACCCATAGCTGGGGGGAGAAGAGGATTAATACCTTTCCCAAGGGTATTAGCACGTAAGTAAATATAATTGATTCAACTAGAATTCGAACTCGGCTCTCCGATTCCTCAATCTGAGCTGCTATCCATTACTCCACCGATGCAGCTTAGTGGTATGTTGTGTTTAGCTATTTCTTATTACTTAGATGTGTGTCACATGTAATGAAGTAACAGATAATATTTAAATATTTGTATTCACTTTGTATTGCATTTATAAGAAGGAAGTTCCACTCAAAAAACAGATTCTTCCCCAGAACTGTGGAACAGACTCCCAAAATGATACTTCCCCAATCACTACAAAACCTTCTATATATCTTACATATTCTCATAATATGCAATTACTTCTTTTCTTTGTCCTGACAGAAACCTCATTCATTAACCCTCTACCTTGAGTGACTCTTGGGCCTTGTATTGGGTGAACAATAGTATAAATAATATAATAGGCAATTCAACCTCATTCATTAACCCTCTACCTTGAGTGACTCTTGGGCCTTGTATTGGCTGAACAATAGTATAAATAATATAATAGGCAATTGTCATCCAATGTTTCCATCCTTTGGAGTTTTCTTCTGAAGAAACAGGAGCTTCATGACATCCAAAGGTTCAACACTTGAAAATTAATTCCAGTTTCTATTGGAATGGTTCAGTCAATACTCTGTAACAAATTGAGAAAATCAATGTGAAGAAGCCACAATACTGACACAATAGAAAACAAAAATACTTTCCATTTGGGCCAGGACGAGAATTTTTCAGCACTCCTTGTTGTACAAGAAGGAGAGGTTTTTGACGTCTGTGACAAAAAAAGAAAAAAATTAAAAACTGTTAAGTTGAGAGGTAATTTCTTATACGAAAATGTTTCCCGTATTAAAAACGACCTTGTGTCACATTACCCAGGTGAATAAAATAAAATAGTATAAATATACATGGGGAATAACCCTTATTTAAAAAATAGAGTTACTTCCCTTAAAAGTTGCTTGCAAAAATGTTCCTTTTGTTCTCGATGAGCTACAATTTCCTGTCCATCGCAGCTCTTAATAAAGATTATCTTTTTGGCTACCTTCCCTAATCCCTGATCATTCAACACAATCTATATAGGTAGTAAATTGAACAACTAATATATTGGATATGTTCACCGTAATGCGTCTTATCACAATTTCTATTTAAAAATTGCGACTTTAATTACAATGATAAAACAACAAAAAAAAATGTATAGAAAGTGAAAATATAGAAAATCGCTAGATCATCTAATTCTACAGTAAATTTGCATCCAGGTTCTTACAATATTTCACCTTTTTGGCAGAGCTTCGATTATCACAATGTGGAATCTTACTTATTATAAAACGCAGATTGTGTGTGTGTGTGTGTGTGTGTGTGTGTGTGTGTGTGTGTGTCTGTAACGTTTATATATTGGATCGGATTTCCTACATTTTTCAACCGATTTCAACAAAACTTTACAGGACTACATAAAATTACCTTGTGGTGGTTCTAACAGCGCCAAAAATGGGAAAAATATAATTGTTTTTTGCACAAAATCAATTTGAAAACACGATTAAGAGGCATCGCGAAAATGGAAGGGGGGCAACTCACATCGGTTTGTTTGTGTGTGGAGGTTACTTTAAATATGGGAGCGGATTTCCTATATTTTTCAGCCGATAAAACAAAACTTCACTTTTTTTTTTTTTTTTTGGCAGGTAGTGTTTCTTATTCTCTTGCACACTTTTTTCTTTATTTTTAACATTCAGAATGCTTTAAAAATTCCATTTACAAGACAATTATTTATAATAAAATTCTATTCAATCAGTAGACTCATAACGATTGAAAACAATGTTTTTGTTTGAGTTTGACCAATTCGTAAAAAATAAAAAAAATAAAAAAAATAATTAAGATATGCGTGTCCGTCAACCTTAAACAATAATCTAACGATCTCTATTGATTGTACGAATACAAACATCGGAATAAATTCTTTATCTTTAGGGAAAAATAATGAAATCTAAACATACACAAGTCCTAACTAAAAATAATAACCGGAACGGGAAACTACTTTAAATACACATGGTGTCCAATTTTTTTACTGTATTCAATAAGTAAAAATCATAAATTGTAAAAGATTATTATTACAGAAAGGCTACTAAATGAATAAGATTTGTTAGATCATAATTAATAAACCCAAATAAAGTTAATATTTTTTGTATTAGAAACAACGAGTGGAAAATATATTCAAATCAGAATTCTAATTATGAATCACCACAAGCAAAATATTCAATTTTTTTACTGTATTCAATAAGTAAAAATCATAAATTGTAAAACTAAAAGATTACAGAAAGGCTACCTACATTTTTCAACCGATTTCAACAAAACTTCACTTTTTTTTTTTTTTGGCATGTAGTGTTTCTTATTGTCTTGCACACTTTTTCTTTATTTTTACATTCAGAATGCTTTAAAAATTCCATTTACAAGACAATTGTTTATAATAAAATTCTATTCAATCGGTAGAAACTCATAACGATAGAAAACAATGTTTTTGTTTGAGTTTGGGTTTGACCAATTCATAAAAAAAAAAAAAAAATTAAGACATGCGTGTCCGTCAACCTTAAACAATAATCTTTGTCAATTTTATTTTTCAGTCTTTATGATGGTAGATACTTGATCTATCTCTTACTGTTGTATCCCCGGCCAACGCCGGGCTCTACTGCTAGTATTTAATAAGAAAAGTGATAAAAGCATAAACAAAAAATCAAAAAGAAAATCAACGAAATTGGCTAGATATCCAAAACACCTATAATGAACAAAAACGATTTAATTTAAATAAAAGTTCAAATTTTCAGTGTCCTCCTCCCTTTCATGCGCATGTGTAGTTACATCAACGGAAACCTCACTTTATTCCGATGAAGTCTATAAAGAAATCCAAGTTCTTGTCAAACACAAAAACTGAGTTTGTAGAACAACAATTCATAATAGGCACAAAATTACAAAACAAGACAACCACTGCGTAAAAGTTTAAAAGGAAAAACACATTTATTTACACAATTATAAAAAAAAAAAGGTACAAATGAAAAGTTTGCACAAAAATTTGCTTTTGAGCGCCCTATTAAGGCAGGATAAAAATTTCTGATAAAAGGATTACCAGAGAAAAATGGGAAAAAAAAATACAGTTTGGGAAAATCAAGGATTTTGAGAATGACTTAAAAGGAAAACAATACAAAAAAGCAGTAAAAAAAAAACAAAAAAAAACAAATGTGCAACAATCTTTGAGAAAAAAAAACAAAAAAAATACCTACTTTTACTTGTTTGACGTGCATCTCTAGGGCATATAGTAATTTAAGAAAAGTCTGTAGTGCCACACCTACATTTTCTCCAATTCTAATTGGTCAATAAATACATACTAAAAAATAACAGGACAATTTATCTATCGCATTCCACCATAGTAAATTTGTTCCTACACTTTGTTCAAAAACAAGCTTTGCTACAAAATCGCTGATTGGTCCATTTTCCGTCCAATCGGATATTTTTCATGTATATTCAAAAATATATTCCAGCGTCTCTGCTGGGAGCCACCCTAGGTAGTATAAATATTGGATGCATTCCAAAAAACCAGTTAGTAGTAGTTCCAGAACCACAGTCGAGTGTACCCAGAGACAATAGATCTCATCTACTCACTCGTGTATTTCATCCTACTTACTCCGCACGTACATACACACAGATATAGAACTTTATTTGATATACCACCAGTTCTCAATGGACACACCAAGTTAAATCAACTCTGTAAGTTGCAACAACTGAACAATTTTCTGAAAGAAATATTCTATTTTCAACACTGAACTCTGAACATTTTACTCAGACAAATCTTCTTTAAGACATTTCCTTACAGTCAAGGGGAAGCTACGTTTTTCTCCCTTTTTCACTCATATTACAACTATTTTGTATTATTGTTGAATTTAATATACATATATTTCTTCGTTAAACAAAATTGGTTCTCATTGTTTTTTCCTTGATGTTTTAAATATTATGTATGAATGTTTATTACCTTCTCAACAGGCGTCCATATTATCTATTTAACCCATTCAACATTGGTAACACTCAAGAAGTAATACATTCCACAATTGGTCAACCAGACGTTCTAATCAACATTCTACAAGTCCTTTTTAAATTCACAGTTCATGCTTCCGAAAATTTCTTTGAATTCTTTTCCGTATATTGTTGTCCAACTGCAGGAGAATTTTCATTTGAACTTGAAAATTCTTTAGTCTCTCTGCCTTCTTGAAATCAAAAGCCTTCTCGCTCCTTGATTTACCTTGTTCCCTTGCTGTAAAAAAAAAAATCTTCTCGCATCTACTGAGCTGAGCTCTATATATTTAGAAAAATAGGCTCAAAGCACCCCGCGCCATTCAGGCTATTACTAGAGCGTGAGACCACGTCTCTCATTGATTTTTCATAAACTAGAAATAAATCTTTCATAAATTTAACAACTTTCAAACAATCAGTCAGTTATGTGCCATGCGTGATACACGCTTAGGTAATCATGTATCTTTCGATACATGACTGACGAGGCAGATTTTTTCCCGCAGTACGTTTATGCGATAGTCCAGTTGCCATCCAATACTACAGAACCTGGTTTATTGTGCTATTAGGGGCAGAAGAAGAGGATTTGTACCTTTATACTGTAAGTGAATGTAATGGATTCAACTGAAATTCGAACTCGGCTCTCCGATTCCTCAATCCGAGCCACCAAGCCTCCCTGAGCCGAAAAAGATGTAACAATTTTTAACACAAACGGTCTGGTCTTCTTAAAAATACACTTCTCTCAAAAGAACGTCTATTATAATACAACCTAGATGATTAAATGTTTATTCAATGTTAACATTTTTTAAAATAGTAAGAAATGCGTCACACATTTTTTTTTCACTTTGTCATTAATTTTTGTAACATTGTTCAGATATATATATATATATATATATATATATATATATATATATATATATATATATATATATTAGATAGATAGATAGATCATTTTCCCCTATATAATACAACTCTAAGACATGAAAAATTACAAGAAATTATGCCATATCCCAATAAACTTTCAGTGAGAATAGAATGTACATGAGACTGTGAGAGATTTGACATAAGGTCATCTTAGATAAATCTTCGTTTGCTTAATTTTTAAACAGAAAACGAATCTGGAAATTGTCTAGCTTCTAGCTTAGATAGCTTTAAAAATCTCTTTGAACCATCTGAAGACCACTATCAAACATGCATATATTTGCGGAGAACTATTTCGAGTACGATTTCCTTCAAAGCATTATAGAAAATGAACCCTATTACCAGTGTAATGGATGTAAGAAAGATCCGTGAATATTTAAGAATGTGCTGCAAATAAAATATACAATATCCACAAACATAAATTATAAGAAATGGCCAAATGGTAACGATATTCAATCACCACAAAAAATACATGTTTGAAACAACAGATTAAATTTTACATACACAATTTACAATTTCTTTGTTTGTAATGATGTGTACAAAAGTATAGAGAAAAAGTTCTTTGCTGTTTCAGAAATGTTCAATGTCTAAAAAGTTGTCTGCCTTTGCTTGAAAGGTTGAGTTTAACTTAGACAAAAGAATTTTCTATGAAAGATATTAAGTGAAAAAGTTTGTTGTATGAATTTTTCTAATCTCTCATAAAGAAAGTTTGTTTCTTTAGCGGAAATTTTGACACATAATTCCCGTGTGTATTTTTGCGTGTGTGTCTCAAAATGCGACGAAAATTCGTTTGCTGTTTCTATTTATAGTTTTTTTAACAACAAAATCGGCTCCAGCGGCTTGGTAGCTTGTGGCGAATTTTTCTGAGAAATGCGTGGGCGAATGCTGTATTTTTTAGCCAATAGGATTTCTTGAAACATTTAAATTAGGGATGGATTTGAGAAAGATTTTTTATGTCGAGCCTATTTTGGTACAATTTTTATCTGTTTTGTTATGGAAATTTCTCGAAGTCTATTTTTATTTAACAACCAATGAAATTCAAGAAAATGTTTGAAAATTGAAATGAGGGTTACTAAACCAGCACAACTACATACCGACATGCATACCAAAACAGTTTTTAATTCGGAGTTTCTCCTAGACGGGTTTCCAACCACGGTTAGAGATTTCGGTCTGCCCTGCACTTTAGCTTGATGGTAAGTGGGAAGACAAAAGATGAGTTTATACCTATCCCAAAGGCATTTCTATCTCGTACCCAATTTGTGCCAAAGTGAATACAACGAACATGAGGATTTCTCGTTCTGAACTGCTTTTCAACTGGGAATCCAAGTCTTGCAAATCTGGGTTGAGCGATGCGGAGTTCAGAAAATGTCCGATGAAAAAGCGTTCATGCTCTGAATAAAGTGAGATCAGCAGTTGACGCCTAAGAGAATAAAAAGATTTTTAAAATGATACTGGCATTTCAGGTAAGTTTTTATTGATATTAATAAGATATTACATTGAAATTGTTGAATAAAGTTTGTTTTTCTTAAAAAGAGACATTTCTTAAAGTAATCTTCGAAAGTTAGTGTGTCATTAGTTAAGAAAGAGAAATATTGTTTTGTATCAATTTTCCAATTGAGGAGAATCGACCTCTCAGAGATAGAATTAAAAATCTTGGTCTCCAGCTGGGAGATAGATAGATAGATAGATAGATAGATAGATAGATAGATAGATAAAAACAACATATAGGCAGAAACAAAATCTCAAGATAGAAACAAAATGTCATTAACTAAATGTCATAGATAGATAGATAGATAGATAGATAGATAGAACTAAAATATAGACAGATAAAAACAAAATGTAGATAGAAACAAAGTCATAGATAGATAGATAGATAGATAGATAGATAGATAGATAGATAGATAGATAGAAACAGCCATAGATAGATAGATAGATAGATAGATAGAACTAAAATATAGATAGATAAAAAGTAAAAACAAAATGTAGATAGAAACAAAGTCATAGATAGATAGATAGATAGATAGATAGAAACAGCCATAGATAGATAGATAGATAGATAGATAGAACTAAAATATAGATAGATAAAAAGTAAAAAAAAAATGTAGATAGAAACAAAGTCATAGATAGATAGATAGATAGATAGATAGATAGATAGAAACAGCCATAGATAGATAGATAGATAGATAGATAGAACTAAAATATAGATAGATAAAGTAAAAAAACAAAATGTAGATAGAAACAAAGTCATAGATAGATAGATAGATAGATAGATAGAAACAGCCATAGATAGATAGATAGATAGATAGATAGAACTAAAATATAGATAGATAAAAAGTAAAAACAAAATGTAGATAGAAACAAAGTCATAGATAGATAGATAGATAGATAGATAGATAGAAACAGCCATAGATAGATAGATAGATAGAACTAAAATATAGATAGATAAAAAGTAAAAACAAAATGTAGATAGAAACAAAGTCATAGATAGATAGATAGATAGATAGATAGATAGATAGAAACAGCCATAGATAGATAGATAGATAGATAGATAGATAGATAGAACTAAAATATAGATAGATAAAAAGTAAAAACAAAATGTAGATAGAAACAAAGTCATAGATAGATAGATAGATAGATAGATAGATAGATAGATAGATAGATAGATAGATAGATAGAAACAGCCATAGATAGATAGATAGATAGATAGATAGATAGATAGATAGATAGAACTAAAATATAGATAGATAAAAAGTAAAAACAAAATGTAGATAGAAACAAAGTCATAGATAGATAGATAGATAGATAGATAGATAGATACAAAATAAAATAGATACGAACAAAATCTCAGATAAAAATGTCATAGATAAAACAAAATATAGATAAAAAAAAATGTCAGATAGGTAGAAACATAATTAAAACAAAATGTCATAGACAGATAAAACAAATTCTCATTGATAGATAGATAGATAGAATTAGACTTAGATAGATAGATAGATAGATAGATAGAGATAACGTGGATTCATCCCCGTTAACAAAGAAAGCGGATGTATGAACGCTTGCATGCAAAAAACGATATATCTTTTTTAAAAATGCCAGATGGAACAAAATTAACTTTCAAGTCGCATGCAACCAATTGCTGTTTTGGCTACGATTAAAGCAACATGTGTATGAAATTGATAGCATCGTCTCTATACGTATATTTGATTGATACTTTTTTACAAGCATTGATGAAGCAAAGATTTTACCCAAATAGTAAATATAGGTTTGTTTTTTTATTTAATAATAATAATATCATTTGACCGATACAAATTAACACAAAAATGTTAAAGTTTATAAATTATTCTAATTATATTTTTTAAAATGGAAACAAAAATAATTCATTATTCATCGATTGGTTGTTTAATTGATTTTGTTTAGCGACTATCAACACCTCTATGGGTTATTTAATGCCGAAATGTAAATATTTTGAACACAATTTCATGGCTTCAGATAAATACACTTTGAACGCAATTGTATGCTTCAGCTCCAGATAAAATGTATTGTTGGTCATTTTACTATAAAATGTTCTGTTGGTCATTTTACTATAAATATGTATTGTTGGTAATTTTATTATAAAAAGCGATTGTTGATAATTTTACTATAAATAGGTATTATTGGTAATTTGAATATATACAAATGTATTGCTGGTATTTTTGCTATAAAAATATATTTTTATACTTTCATAGTGGTTTTTTTTTTTTTTGAGGGTTCACTATTTGCCCATAGCTGGGACCCTAACAGGTGCTACCACCTCGTGTTAGGATGGACCCGTTAACAACATTTAATTAATATCTTAATAATATTGTATTGTTTTTTTTATTTTACGATTCAGAGATTTTCGGTAACTGGGGTCCTGTTTGACCAAAAATATATGATTTAAATTCTCCTAGGACTTGATCTTATAACTAATATAAGCACTAAGCGCTACATAAAAGAATTTCTCGGAAGTTCATAAAATTAAAAAAGTGTAAGTTAACAAATGTAAAAAAAATGTCAATATTTTGTTAAAACGAAACGTTTGAAAAAAATTTATTCATTTGTAAGTCCTGAAAGTTGCATTAAAAGCAACAACTATCTGATTTTTGAATTTCGAAATCAGTGTGTTTTACACCGCAAAAAGACATTCAAATTTCCCATACTCATTTATAGACTGAGAAATAAGATGTTTAACTAAAATTTCAAAAGTTCTATAAAGGATTTTTAAAAATAAAATTCTTTGGTTTTTCCTCTTAATAACAACACAAAGATTTTGACGATAAAACTTTGTTTTTATTAGGTTTGGGGAATTTTTCCATCATATATGGTCATTTTTAGCGCATCTTTGAAAGTATCTATATCACACACACACACACACACACACAAACACACATACACACACACACACACACACACACACATATATATATATATATATATATATATATATATATATATATATATATATATATATATATAACAGAGAGACACAGAGAGAGAGAAACACTTACATCCACACTCTTAAACATGGCGTCTCCAAAAATACGTATATTTCTTTTTGAATCAATAATTTTCTGAGTTGGAATGACCAAAAAAAAAAAAAAAGGTTTCACTTTCTTTTTCCTTCCATATAAAACTTGGCCTTAGAAATGAACAAGAAATTTTTATTTCAACTTATTTTATGCGTTGTATATCTTCCGGGTGTGAGGGAACACAACTTCCTATCATTTGTAGTTCTTAGCAATGTTTGTCTCCTTATCACACCCCCACAGTCCCTGTTCTACCATCCAATTTATTCCAGCTCCTTGGAAATGTTACTTGATGTTTCGCCCCTTGCCTTTAGTATGTCCTGTGAGGTTCAAATTCTCCAAACCCTAATAATAGAAGTTAGAAATAAAGTGGTAATCGAAATTTGAAGATTTAGAAATAAATCCAAATATTGACATTACGAATTATTTATAGAATTTAAATGGTTATGTGTCGTATGTATTTCATGTGGGTGCATTTTCACATGTAAACAATTAAAGAATAAGAAAAAAATAATGGGTTTCTAACCACTGAGTGTTTATTTTCTTTTTTTATATGAAGTGTAGTGAAACAAAGTTCGCAATGTCTCTTGTTTACATCCGTTTTCTTTTTTGCTCCAGAAGTTGTGATACTTAAGGATAGCATCTTTATAATAGTCGAGCTCAAGTCAGCCTTGCGCTGAGTTGGAACGACCAAAGAAAGGTTGCAATTACTTCATCGGTAGTTATGATGGTCGAGCTCAAGTCAGCCTTGCGCTGATTTGGAACGATCAAAGAAAGGTTGAACTTACTTCATCGGTAGTTATAATGGTCGAGCTCAAGTTAGCCTTGCGCTGTGTTCGAACGACCAAAGTAAACCTTGTCTTACTTCATCGGTGGAATTTCGGCAAAACATGGAAACAGTTGCATCTCTGCCCTTTGAAAATCGAAATCTGTCTGGTTTTATAATAATTTTTCCCGAAAGTAAGCTCGAGAAAAATAAGGTTTTAGTTTTCTCTGATTGGTCAAATATTTCACATGGTGATGTTAATTTTTAACCACTAGACACTTTGAGACAAACGGCATATGTTTTATTGTGCAATCTTTTTTGTATGTTTGTAATATTGTCTATTATTGGATAGAAAATAACGTTTGGGTGTGTTTTAATATGGTGTATGTGTGGGTATGTAATTGTGTTGTAAATAGGCTTTATTTTCCCCTAAACACACGCGTATACATAATTCAATCAACAATATACACATGGTAATATAATGTCATAATACGTACACGCTTTATATATGCACCCCGGGTCTCGGTTCCTATGCACAAGAACTTTATGCCTGAACTCTGTTTCAAGAATTCAAACATAAAAGTCTTTGTTTAATTCGTGATTTATTAATTATATATTATGTTATATAAACATCATGGCAATGAATAATATTTAATTATTAATATAAATATATTCATTTTAATATATAATAATTATATATTATATTAACTCTCTGTTGATTTCTTTTTTCCAGTCCTTACACAAGATCTTGTAGGTATACAGAAGGCGCTTATATCCCTTTGGTGGAGATAAGTTACGTGGTTCACATGAAGGTTGCTTAGTGACTTGACTTCATACAATGACCAGAGCGGCAGTCAATATCAGGTTGTTTACAGCAGCCAAATAGCAAGTTTGTTTTTCTTTAGCTCAGTCTATAATTTCATGGTGCTGTTTCCCTTTGGGAATATATCTTTCCCAGATATAGAAAGACACTCCAGCTCGCAGGCTAGTGTTTCTTTCTATATCCTCAATTTGGGAAAACCCGTCCGTGAAATATGTCCTCGCCTGAGGCAGAGATGAATCCGATCCGTTTGAATGTTGAATCCTAAACATGTCTTCTCCAGACACAGGGGTATCTCCATATTATATGTAAGACATTTTTTGTTTCTCCTTACACTCTGCCTTGCTATATGATATATTTTCTCCGCCCGAGACACTTGTATATATGTATATATAGTTTTGTGTATGTCTTAGTAGTATAAAAGTCTCTCTAAGAACAAAGCATATTTTTCATTCCTTTTTCCTTTCAGCCATTCCCTTCCGTCCGTGAACTACGGCGTTATTATATCATGAATATAATAATGCCCATAATGGGGGAAATACAAAGATGGGAAATAAATCTTTCTACCATAGCTCTCTCTCTCTTGTTACTGTCTGTTTGCTATCTGATGGTACATGACGTTACTATAAAGCAATCTTACACTATCTAGTCACCTTACATACGGTGAAAGCAGACAGACAACTGTATCAGCCACTGAAGAGGCTCAAATTAAAATTTCACTTGTGAATTCGGGGCTAGTAAAGAAAATAGGCTTCGAAAATTTCACTCTAAAGGAACTTGTTCAAAAAGTAATATATATATATATATATATATATATATATATATATATATCGACATAAATTGTTCCAAAAAGTAACAACTAAAATAGCAATCACAAAAAAAAGAAGCGAAACACCGAAGATAATATAAAAATTAGCATTAACCTTAACCTTAATTTCTTTCTTTTCACTTTGCTCTTCCGACTCCGAGGGCTACGAACGCATTTCCTGTACTGAACACGATCGGCCATTTCCGTCCGGCGAAACCCGTCTCCGCTAATCGATCTGCGCAATCAACTTCCATGACAATAAAGCGCGTAACAAAAGAATACCGTCTAACTAGTTCGAATCACCTATCGATCAACAATGAGATCCATTTTCAATAGATCATGACAACAAACCACCAATCATAATCTACATGGGATCATAAAAATATCAATTCAAGCGCATAGTTTTATGTCGTAGAATTGCACGTTTTTTACGATTCTAATGCAATCTGATCACTTAAACTCGTTCTGTAACGAGCTTTATCAACCTTAAAAAAAAGCAGCGTTATTCAGAATAACGGTCGATGCTATCAACTAAGGAATAAAAACAATACATTTCCTTTCAGTAATAACATTTAATTTGAAAGGTTTTGGGCTGATGTTTTGATTTCGTGAGAAAAATTAATTTTGTTCTCGTAACTATATTCAGCGTCTGTTTTAATGTTCAGGAAATTTTTCTCGTTTTCAAGAAGATGAAGAGGAGACCTGAGGCAACAAATATGTGGTTCCACAGAAGAATACTGAGAATCCCATGAACAAAACGCGTGACTAACGAGGAAGCTTTATGGAAAAAAGTAACAAAAAGGACAATTGTACATAGGATCAGAGAGTTTAAATTTCTGAGACACATAAATGATTAATTGATTCAATTTTTTACAGTTTATCAACCTTTTGTGGTTTATTTAAAAATAAAATATATTTTGAATTTTGTAAGAATAATTCTGTTTTTTTGTGAGTGAATATTGCATTAACGATCATTTAAGAATAAGAATGATTTTCAACATACAACTATTTAACCTGTAGCTGGGGGGAAGTTAGAGGGGTTTATAGCTTTCCCAAGGATATTTTGCGCTGACTAGAGTTTGAGCTGCTATCCATTACACCATCCTCACATCTACCATAAAGAGGAAAGAAATACTGGAGAATTTGTCACTCATAGGGCATATTAAATGTAAGGTGAGCAGATGCTTGTGTAAGTGAATAGTAGAACATGGACTGAGAAGAATAATAATACCTCGAGCTAAAAAGGGGAGGAAGTTGTGGAGAGCCATGATCACCCACATCCTCTAAAGATATGTCGAATAAAAAAAGAACCATTACAATACCCGTATTGCAATAAAAATGCTTGTATTAATTCCTGAGTAATGATAGCTTATTTTTTCTTCATTCTGTGTTACTCGATAGTAGTAGATAGATTCACCTATCGTCCGGTTCACACTTCTCCCCGGTCTCTTGAAGAAGAATTGAAGTTTATCTTTTGTTTCTTGTGTACGAACGGATTTCGGTTACTTCTAAAGTTTACTTCAACTCTTTATTTCTAAAGCCTCTGCCTAAACTCCGAAATTGTATTTACTATTTATTTACATTTTTCTCCCTTCAATAGGAGTTGATAGGTTCACCTATCGTCCGGTTCACACTCCTCCCCGGTCTTTTGAGCAGGAGTGGAGATTTATCCCTTGTTTCCTGTTTAGGATTGAGTTTCCGGTTCCTTCTCAAGTCTTTTCCTTCTCTTTCACTTCCGGTAGCCCTTCACCTAATAGCTTGGGCTTGGGGTGAATTGATATTTTTTAAAAATTTGCAATCTAATTTCAAAGGTAAAACTGTTTGCATTTTTTTTTGTTGGAAAATAAATAACGGTATATGTTAGTAATGCCTTAATTCGTGACCATTAACAATCACTTTCTTCCTCTTATTCAATATACAACGTAAAGATCGAACGTCAAAAATTATTAAAACAAACTTCAAACAAATAGAAAAATCAATGTTTAATCAACGATAATTCAATGCAACCAGAAATATTTAAAGTAGAGCAGAAAATAACGGAAACCAAACGGGTTATTCCTTACTTTCTTCACAACTATACACTGGGACTAACAATCCCCCATTCCCTTTGTATTCCATTAGTAAGGAGGAAGTTCAACTCATACTCCTTCTTCACAAGAACTGTTATTTTATGGAACAGTCTCCCGAAAAGATGTTTTCCCGATTACTACAATCTTAAACTTTTCAAGTTAAGGTTTACCCATTATTTTTCTCAGATATCCTCATAAACAGCACTTTTTAATTCCTACCCTTACTGCTCATACATCAACCTCATTCAGTAACCCTCTATCTTGAATGGCTTTTGAGCCTTGTATTGAGTGTTCATTCGTGTTTCGCGAAGAAAGAATATCGCGTGTCTATGTAGTCTCGACGTTCGAACTGCGATAAAAGTGTTGTATCTGTTCTTCACCTCAGTACCATGTTTCTGTCTTAGAACACTTCACGGGAAAGATCTGAATGGTATCTGGTCACGGGTGTCCCAACCCTGAGGCAGCACTTCCAACGTTGCACTAAAAAAAAAGAGGGTTGGTGAAATACCAAGGCCAGCGTGACAGTAGTCGCGGAGACTGGGCAACCGGTTTTTGTCCTTTGTTCCATATGTACGCGTAAGTGTACCACACCCATTGAAAACGATCTTGTGTCACACCTGTACCTTCGTGGGGAGGCAAGTAGAAATCACCTGCAATGAAAGAAAAAGGAAACTATTAGTACGTAATTAGTAATTATTATTTTACCGTAAATATTGAAATTTTCGTCAGAAACAAAGAAAAGGGCGTTGAACTGTTATGTAACATCTGTCTTCCTATGTGGCAGTGGATGCTGGACAATCCTTTCACAAATGAAGAAGAGGCTTGAGCCAGCAGAGATGCGTTTCTACAGAAGGATGTTGAGAATACTATGGACTAAACATGTGAACAACGAAGAAGTCTTATAGAAAATGAAAACAAAAGTGACACTCATATTTAGAATCAGAAAGAGACACTATTTACCTTATTCGGACTATTGTCCTCATCTTTGTTGCCATATTTATCACAACGTTTCGGCCGCTGTATGCTCCGGCCTTCTTCAGGTGGTTGGAATGTCGAACTGAACCCTTTATTTCGCTCGCTAGGTTAGACTGTTCTAGTTCCACGTGCCATGTCTAATGGTTGTCAGTTATCTTCTGTTAATACACCTCTTCAAGTTTTCCACTGCCTTAACCAGGTATTATCCTAGAGGACACATGGCACAGTGGCTAAAGGCGTTAGTTGGATCCAATGACAGGACTCAAAGAGTAGGAGTTCAATAGTGCGAGTTCAATATTTATCCGATCATTCAGTATCTATTTATATTTCTGAGATGAAGTATTATGTACACTATTTACCTTATTCGGACTATTGTCCGCATCTTTGTTGCCATATTTATCACAAAGTTTCGGCCGCTATACGCTCCGGCCTTCTTCAGGTGGTTGTAATGTCGAACTGAACCCTTTATTTCGCTCGCTGGGGTAGACTGTTCTAGTTCCACTTGCCATGTCTAATGGTTGTCAGTTATCTCCTGTTAATTCCCTTCTCCAAGCTCTCCACCGCCTTAACCAGGTATTGAACTCACAACTCTTTGGGTCTTGTCACTGGATCTAACCAACGCTTTTATCCACTGTGTCATGTGTCCTTAAGAAAGAGACTGTTGAAATTTCTAGGGTACATAATGAGGAAAGAGGTTATGGCGGCCTTATAGGTGATAAATTGTTTTCCACCCTACAATCCCTTTCCCATGCACGAAATGTCAAAAGACTCTCGCTACTCTATCCCTATTTCCTTGACAAGAGCTCAGTATTTATCGATCCACCCACGGGGATAGAATGTGGCACAAGGCCGGTTTAATGTGGGTATCCCCGAGCCCGTAGGCTCGGCCAAAAATATAGCCTTTTGAACCCGCCTAGACGGGTTCAGGCCCTGTCTACCTCCCCGAACGAAACCTTGCCCTTCGCAAAGCTTCTTCCGGGTTCCTCTCTGCTAATGCAGAGAGTTCGACAGACGCCGACTCGGAAGCTCACAAAGGCAGCGTACTACACTTTGATCCTAGTCGCCAGGCCGAGCAGCTCAGACAAGAGCTACATTCCTTAGTTCCACTGGTTCTGAACTTTGCAGCTAAGACCAGCTGGGACGAGCTATCCCCATTCCAGCATGTCACAGGACATACCGAACAGTGAAAACCTGCGAATAACCTACCTAACGAACTCGTGTAAATCGATGGCAGAACAGGGATTAAGATTGGTTTGGCTTTGTTTGTTTAACGGCATGTCAACTCTTTATGGGTTATTTAATGCTAAAATCTCTTTTTCTTGTGAACTTTGGTAATTCTTTTTTTTTTCCAGAAAATGTCTTGCTTGGAATTTTTCTTTTTTTTTACTATGGAAATCTATTTCTGGTAATTTTTTTTTTCTAATGTATTTTTATATTTTTATGTGGTGACCTCAGTTTGGGTGTTCGCTATTTGCCCATAGCTTAGACCCTAACAGGTGCTACCACCCTAGGTCAGGATAGACTTGGAAACAACAGCAATTAAGAAGTGGTTCTACGCTGCTCAAAATCTCCCAGTCAGTGACCTTGCTGCCGGATGGAGTTTATTGTCATCCCCAGGAAGATAGTGATTAAGAAATATAGGAAAAAGACAAACCTTACTAAAAGCTACAATGGACTGGAAGTCGTGGGGATCCATTCTTCTTGGAATGTCGAACTGAACCCTTTATTCTCCTGTTCTTTATTTGTTGTTTCCTTATTCTCTGAGCCAATAGAGATGCGTTTCTACAGAAGGATGTTGAGAATTCCTATGGACTAAACATGTGAATAATGATGAGGCTTTAAAGAAAATAGAAACAAAAATGACACTTATATTTAGAATCAGAAAGAGACACTATTTAACTTATTCCGACTATTGTCTTCATCTTTGTTGCCATATTTATCACAACATTTCGGCCGCTGTACGCTCTGGCCTTCTTCAGGTGGTTGGAATGTCGAACTGAACCCTTTATTCTCCTGTTCTTTATTTGTTGTTTCCTTATTCTTTCATTCCATGTTTTTTCTTTATATATTATAACTTTACAAGTCGTATTTGTTTTCGGTACATTGTCTGTGTTTGTATTGGTCCCTAAGTAAAAAATCATTTTTTTTCCTTTAAGG